AGAGAGTTGAGTATATACGCACAATTCCACAATGTCAGCCGTTAGATGCAGTTCTGCATCGTAAGCATTGTCATATTCATGTTGAGAAAAAATAATTAAATATGTATAAGACACAAAGGGCTCACTCTTATTTCATCATTAAATAAGGAGTGTCGAGATTGATTAACAAAAAGGAAACTTAAGACAGGGGCCTAAGCTAAAGAGACACAGGATACATCCAATTAGAATAAGAGTTGACTTTTTATGATGTGGCATTGTTTCTTTGTTACGTGCATGGGCTAGGTTAAACTTATTAATGAATGTTATTTGTAATCATATTATGTCCTTGTTTGAATGGAGGCAGGTGATAAAGCAAGACATGGAGAGCACAGATAAGGCATAGAGAGATAGCTTAATTAGGAATTAAACCTGTACAGCTTTTGAAGTAGGGTAACTATAGGTGCGCCTGCCTTGCGCGCCCCTATGGCTTAGATATTAAGTGAAGTGGCTTATAAGGACGTCTTCTTTTTTGGTCATGCTAGGTTATGCTCCTCCACTAAGCCTAACGAAAACAAACCAAGACGGAATGTATCAAGGCTTACTCTTGTAGGAGAAGCACAACCAGACTTCACTTCACATATAGAATTAATAATGTTAGCTCCTTCATCAACTTCATAGTCAGGGCAACAAGCTGCTAAAGAATGAGAGAAGGAGGACAAAGCATTGTCAAATCTATTCAATACCAGTCAGCATATGTCTTGGATTAAGCTGTTGTTTACATGACTAATTGATTCTACTTACTTATGTGGATCGTAATGTTTATTCTTCTTAAAAACGGAGCTCCACACTGACTCCAGGATGTCTTCAGCCTTTTTCTCGCCTATGTTCTTCTTCTTCACTGTCATTTTGTTGATTCTGTTCCAGATAGGTAAGTATTCTTTTTTACCTTCAAGCCAGATACTTACAAGTTTGACAGAGCCTGAATTGTGCGTCGAGAAGCCCCTTCTACTCTTTTGGTGATGCCGCTGATGCTGTCCCTCAGCTTTTCTTCATCATCATCCTTGAAGTCCTAAATAAAATAATTTAAACATGTCGTATAGTTATTTAAAATATTTTACTTACATCGGCTATATCTTTCAAATCGAGTGTGATAGTCGAGTTTAGCCTCAAAGACTTACCAGAAATAGTCAGTCGAAAGTAACAGCGCAGCGCCTCCAAGACACCAATGTCACAGCAGACGCCAAGTTCAGCATCAATTGATGTGCTGAGCTTGGTAATCCAATGGATGGCTCTATAGATGAAATGAAATAAGTAATAATAAGCATATAATTATATGTCAATATCTACAGGAGCTTGTTTATGTTGCTGATGAAGCCATCCTTTGGATTGCTTAACAGAGCCAATGATTGTCTTCGGAACTTGGCTGTTGAAGCTAAGATATCATGGCTGTTGAACACAAATTCTTGTTGTTTATGCTGGCTAATGTTGAAATTAGTCAACCTGTTTGAGATAACATCGTCACTTCCTGAGCTCTGGCAAAAAGGTTTCTTTGTCCACTTTCCAAGAAGCATTGGCTCGTATGAAGTTCAAATCGTGTCTCACAGCAAAGAAGCATGCCCTAAAGCCTAAGCATAAAGCTGATCGTTTGCAGTAGGCCAAAGAAAGACAAAAATGGACCAAAGATGACAGGGGTAAGGTGATTTGGTCTGATGAGGCCAAGTTCACCCTAAAGAGTGCTAGTTTGGACATTAGTTGTCAGAAAGGATGGAGAAAGATATGAGGAGAGGCACATAAAGGGTACACACAGATTTGGATTGGGTTTTCTAATAGTTTAGGGATGCTTCCATACAAATGGTGTTGGCCCTTTAGTGGCCCAAATTAGATCAATCAATCAAAAGGTGTATGTCTAATGTTTGGCGGACTATTATCTTTCCTGGCGTTGTATTATAGGTAGGTGTAACAACTCGATAATTATAGAATAAACAAAGCTGTGATGAGTCTCTGAGTATCCTTTCTATTAGAAAGTGGAAAAAAGAGCTCATGAGGAAAAGATTTTTATCAGTTATCAATTTGGTCGAAGTAGTAAACAAGTGTGAGAGGTAATCTCATACGTATACTTCAGAGTATTAGCATAGCCAAATACGACAGCCAGGCTTTGCCCAGCAAAAAGTTGGTGACCGTGCGAAAAGTAGATGGTAACCATAACCATCATCTCACAAGCGATGCTCGTACATATCGGATACATCGAAAGCCAACTGCTGATATCTATGAAGAAGCCGTTTCTTTGTTGCAGTATAGTGAGGTAATTTTTTGAACTTATATTCAAGTGGTATTCATAACTAATTATGACTTTGTTGATTTGTTAAAAGATGTTGAATGCCAAAGGCGTCAATTATATCACTAGAAGTGATCCCAAAAATCTGCAGCAAATGAATCGCATGAGTTCTGATACGACTTCATTCATGACGCATCTTCAACGCAAGCAGTATAATGTGCGTTTTACTATAAAAAAGACTAACTGCTACCTTCCTCATTAATGACCACGCCATTGAGGAGCTTCGTAGATTTCCGGAATCAATTGTTGTGGATGCTACCTATGAGAGTAATTGCCACTTGTACGCTTTGCTTAACTTTGTAGTTGCTGGCACTGCCTCTAGCAAAGAAAGACCAGATCAATCGACAATAATCCCTGTTGCCAGTGCTTAGATTGAAAGGGAGACAAAGTCCAACTACAAGTGGATTTTGTCTCAATTAAGAGAGATGGTATAGCCAGTGAATCGTAGTCTCAAACAGTTTGAACTACCAAGTGTTTTCACTACAGATAATGATGCTGCTTTGAAATGGAAGAAGTGTTCCCTGAATCTGCTCATTTGTTGTGTTGTATTCACATTGAAAGACACTTTCGGGAGCGATCTCTTAAAGAAATCAATCCTAAATTTGCAGGCAAGAAGAAGCCTCAAATGTTATCTACGCTTTGCTTATGTAAGATTTTGTAATATCTGTCGTATAGCGGATGAGCGTGATCAGTACGAAGCAGAGCATAGAAGATTGATTCTTGATATCGCTCGTGGATGCACCACAAAAGAGTCATACGAAGATGCGAAGAAGTTATACATTAACTTTCTCAATCGTGATGGGCTTTTTTGTTAACAAAAAAGCCTGCATTGACTATTTTTACCTGTAAGTTTGGTTATTGGTTTGGTTATTGGTTTGGTTATTAATGACTTGAAACCCATTTTTTAAATTCTTGGGAATAGTATGATACAATCCGAAGTACAATGGGGTAGTTATTATACCAATGCTCATCCTCATATGAATAACCGGTCTATAAACCGTGTTGAAGGTACACATGCTGTCACGAAACAAAGCATTGGTTCTTCCAAAGGCAAAATGGGCCCTGTCACTGACAAGATCGCCCACTGGTACAAAATGAGAGTAAGGCCAAACATAACGCTTTTTTGTTTTGTTTAGCTAATCTTAATTTCAAAAGAATGATTACCGCAACTTGCAAATGGAGCATGAAAGCCTTCCTGTGCCTGTCTCTGTTCTTACGAGCGAAGTTGAGCACTTGTTGAAGCCATTACAAGGTAAAATCACCAATTTTGCGCTCATCAAGGTCAACAACCAGCTTGTAAAAGGCTTAAAAGAGAAGCAAGGCCAGCTGAGCTCTACTTGCTCTTGCTTTGTCAAGGTTTGGTGGTTACCTTGGTAGACATCGGCCCTGAAGTCTGGTCTTGTCTTATCTGTTTGGATATCAAGAGGCAGTAACCCGATTTGAACTAGTAAAACATAAAGGTTGAGTCCCTAGGTTTAGTAGAGGGAAGACATAGACATGCAAGAAATGATTCTCTATAATCACAGGCTCCCGGAAAAAAGGCACGAAAGGAACCCTAGTTTATATGGTTAAATAGATGAACAAGAAATGTTTTTTTAAAGCACTAATAACCTTCTGTACAACTGGATCTTTGGTCTTAGATCTCACTGATCCAAGGTCATCATCGCATATTTCTTTGTCCCGATGACTTTACACAGCCTGAGAGTACATTTCAGATTATGTTTGTATCTAAAGTAACAAGTTATACTTGCAATCAAGCATTTCCTGATCTCTCTTTTTTAAGCGAAGGGAGAATTGTAATTCATTTTCGGAAATGGATGTTCATATCTACTGCGTTCTCCTTGTGGCTTGTATTTAAAACTCCCTCTCTACTTGTCCTCTTTTAGCTTTCTTTATGGACTATACACTAGAGAAAAAGTTAAGACCTCTTTATGGTATGTCAAGACGTGTTTACTTGTCAGTACTGACCATGGTATAGAGGCACTCGACGAAGGACAAAATAAAATTGCCCTTCAGCACTGTACTAAACTTTTGAAAAAGAATCCAGATTGGCCTTTAGTTAAAGTAAAGAGCTATTGTCTTTATATATAAAACTCAACTATTGATAGGCTTTAAAAGCTCTCGTGCTTGTCCGTACAGGCAAGGAACAAGAAGCTTTTGAATTATGTGAGCAAGTTAAAAAAGTAGTTCCTACAGACGAAGCAACGCTTCAAGCTGTTACTATGTCTTTAAAAGAACTCGGCAAACGTAAAGTATATGAATTGAAGACAAAATTATTCAATATCTCGGTATAGATGCTATGATTGTCGAACTTTATGAAAATGCAGCCAATATTCAACCTAAAAATGAAGAATTTGCTAACCATTGGTTTATGGCCATGGTACGCAACAATGACTACAAGGGCCAACAAGCTGCTGCTGTCAAATTACACCGTGTATTTAAGCAAAACAAGTATTTGTTCTGGGCTATCATGTCACTCGCTCTTCAGGGCGCTACCAACACACTATCCTATGTGTTAGCTGAACGTATGATGGCAAAAGCATTAGAGGAAAATCGTCTTGATCAAGTAGAACATATGCGTCTCTATCTATTGATTTTGATGGATCAGAAAAAAAACCAGGAAGCACTCAAGTTATTGATGGAAACCGAATTGGGTAAAACAGCCCTCAAAGATCCCGAAGTATGCCAGATTAAGTCTGAGCTGTTACGTGAAAATCAACGTTGGGAACAAGTATTGGAGATGAGTGCAGAAGCCTTGAAAGAAAATACAGATGATTGGTTCCATTGGTTAGCTTACTTTGAAGCTGTAGATGCATTAAAAGAAAACGATCAGGTTATCCAAGACGCACATACATTAGTAGCCAATTTGCAACAAGTCGAACTGAATAATAAGGTCCTGAAGCGTGGACCCTTTTTGGCTCAATTGGATTTGGATCACCGCTTGTTAAAGATGGGTAAACAAGGCAAGTAGCACACAAGTAATGTAGCATCATTCGAATCTCTGTTTCTATAGACGAAAGCGTGGCATTAGATCACATTGTTTCTTATTTTGAACGTTTTGGATCCAAGAATTGTGCTTTTGAAGACCTCCATGCCTACATCTTGTTCTTAAAGTCTGATAATGAAAAGAGCAAGGCATTTATTGAACGCCTTGAACAAACTGTTCAACAGGTATCTGACAAGTCAGGTCAAATCAGAAATGTGCACAAAAAAGCCAATATTCGCAAAATGGAACGCTTCTTGGGTCTCCATCTTGCAAAGGATGTGGAAGTAGCCATGTTAATCGTCAATGACCTAGTCAAGTTATATCAAGAGGCTTTACCATTAGGTGAAGGACTTGAAAAGACAGAAGTACAATATGGCGATGAATTTGTGATCTTGGCTGCCCATATTTTGTTGGATTTATATTATCAACATCAACAGTTTGTGTTCTTGTTGCAGGCAACAGCACTTTTGGAAGTTGCTTTGGTCAAGAGTGTCTATAACTTTCAGATCAAACTACTTCTTGTGCGCATGTATACCATGATGGGTGTTTATAAGCGCCCTTTTGAGATTTATCGTACAATGGAAATTAAGCAAATTCAGTTTGATACCATGATGTAAGTTATTATTTTGTTTTAGAATATGCTAACAAGAGTGCACTAGTCATTATTTTACTGATAGATACGCATCTCTTGGTTGTGTGAGTGAGCTTGAAACATTGTTTTATGACTCTTTGTCTATTTACAAAAGCAATGAAGTAGAGGTACTACGAAAAAAAAAGAGATATGGAAAAAGGGAATCATTCAATTGACATGTTAATAGACACCAGAAATGCTAGTCAAAGCATATCAATATGGCACTTATTCCAAGGTAATACACAATGCATGGAATGATCCTATACTTAAGTTTATTAGATTCAAGAATTCATTGAGTTCCGTCGTCGCCTTGATACTTCTTTGCAACATGCCATTACTCGCGTTGAACTATTGCGTTCGGACTTTGTACACTCTTCTTTCCAAACCAAATATGCAGTTCAATTCTTCCAGGAACAAGATGTATCTCAGCTCATCTTAGACAACAATGCATTCTCTGATAACCGAGACATGAAGGTGTTTATTAATTACAATACTACTGGACAACCTACAGCTGAAACACTCTCTAAGCCTGCCCAAAGCACAGACGGTACATGGGTTCAAGTCATGTCTTTTATCTTGACAATCTTGAGCGTGATGTGTGAAACCAAAGAATCCGGTAGAGACTTGACTAGTTTAGCTGATCAATTCAAGGCCTTGCTGGCACAAGAGGATATCAAGCAACACTTAACAGAATCTGAGTTCTGGTTGAGTCGATATGTGTCTGAATTAACAGATGCTTTATTGCTCATCAAACAAAACCAAGATGCAAAAGACAAATTGACACAGGCTATTGTCATTTTGAAAGATCAATGTAAGTTGCTATTTGTGTCATATTCTTTTTCTAACTTTCCCCCTTTCTTCTTATTAGTAAGCAAAGTCAATGCTTTCTCCGAAAAAACATTATCTTGGAACACTTTTCATCAAATTTCGACATCTTTGGAGGTAAGAGAGAGAGAGAGGAATATATATATGTGTGTGTATTTACTGTTCATATAGGCCTTTAATTATGGCTCCGTTATTATTGAGATGATCAGCCGTGCTTTAGGCCTTGGCAACAAAGAAGCCAAACGAAAAGCAACCGAAAAAGCAGGTTCAGACTCTCTCGTAAGTAATTTCCCAAGAAAAAGAATGTTTGTTTATATCTTTTCTAGATGGCCAGCTATGTTGAACTTCAAGCTCAAGTCAAGACATCTTTACAACAAATCCAAACCATTGCTCGAAATGGTAAAGACTTGTTCAGAGCTCAATTACAAAAGAAATTATACAAAGATTTAGTGGATGCTCAACACCCCATCACCACTCTCAAGTCTACAAAGGAGTACCAAAATGTAGCTGTTGTTCATATCAAGACAATGATTGCAAGTTGGAGTTTGTCTGTGGCACAATTGTCTGAAGAAATTGATAGAAGAATGCAAAAATTGTAATCCATAGAATAAAGTGATTGCTGTGATTATGATTATTATTACATGTTAAATGTGGTATTGAGATAAAGTGTACAATATAATACAAAAATTATGAACAGTGCATACAACATTGATCCATATACTTGATGTCGTTTCTGTTCCCCCACCAAGTAGGGAAGTCGTAGGAAATACCATTGGCACCACCGTACAAGGCCATAGAGATGAAGAAGACCATGAGTGAAGTACCTGAATCTAAGGCAGCAGATATTAAGTAATTATGCTTGGCAAACCAGGCACTATAACGACGCTTAATGTAGCCTTGAGAAACCAAGACAATGATAAAAGAAACCATGATCCAAGAAGTATTACTACCGGGCATGAGAGAGAAACCATGTAAGATCATGGGTACATTGATATAATTGAAACCAGCATTAGGCCATTTCTTGTGCAGTAAATAACCAGGAACAGGTAAGACAAAACCAATGATGAAGGCCCATAAAAAGATGTAGTATTCAGTACCTGGACCAAACATAGCCATAGGACCAATAGCACCCCCTAATACATGGATAAGTATACACTATTTTTTATACAACTATTATACATACAGGTGATGGCTGCAGAATTGATTTGTTGAGGTGAACTACCACTCCAGAATTGACTACCTGTTTGCAAAAGAACATCACGTTTTGATGTAGTGATACTGTTGTTCACGATATAGTTGAAGATACAACCAATCACTGTACCGAGAACTTGGTATAAAAATGTCATTCGTGGAGGAACTTTGAGGTAGTGACCGATCTTCAAATCTTGGGCCAAAATACCAGCTTGGTTCTTGGTGGTATAACCCAAGGTCTTGAAGTACATGTTGGCAATGGGATATCCAGGCAACACAAAACCACAAACCATTTCAGTAACTACGTTCAAACCAAAGCCATAGCCTGTAACAGCAGCAATCATATTGAGCGGTAAAGACAAAATACTAGCTAATACAATAGCAAAAATAACCCCCCTATTAGAGGAACGAGTAAATAAATCGCATCCATCGAGTTTCTTTCTGTTTTTCAACTTACCACCAAGGCAATTGACTTTTATTGGCATAAGCAATACCAATGTTGAGACCAATACCGGCAATATAAATGAGACCATACCACCAGTCAGGGACCTATAATACAATTAATATGCATATATATAGATACACTGAATATTACCTCAGAATAAGCTCTCATTAACTTCATATGAATATCTTCAGATTCAGTTTGAGCCTTGAAAGAGTTCTTTGTGTTGCGGAAAGCAGCGACGATTTCTTTACCATAGAAGAGAGCAACATGAGTAATAGTGGCAGTAATACCAAAATTGATGACAACATAGTTCAAAGCGTTAACCATAGTGAAATGAGGTCTGCCTACTTGTTCCAATAGTGTTTCGTTCAAAGAATTATCGGCGTTCAATACATCTTTTTGAGGGTATGTATTGACTGTACCATTTTCATGGAGTTGGTAAAGTGAAAGCGATAAAAAGGGAAACTTTTGTGCGTCCCATACGTTGTAATAATAACAAATAGGAGCAATGATCCAAAGCAACAAGACACCAAAATAGACGTTCAATTGAATCCAGAGAGGAATGACTAAAGGTGTGTAGTTTGATAACAAGTTCCAGTCAAAACTGAATTGGAAGATACCCAATCCTTCGTTTGTTCCAAGACCACCAAAAAGACGTTGAACCCAGGCGCTGTCATTTCTAGCAAGACAGACGATAGAAATACCACCCAACATGGGAAACATATATTGAGGAATGAATTCATATACAAAAACAGCACTGAAAATAATGAAAAAGAACTTTGTACGCCATTTGGATTCTTGCTTATCAGCATTGAATGTCTTGAGTAAAGAAACAACGGGTAAAGTTGTAGGCCAGGTCATGTTGGGCGCATATACCAAGAATTTGCGAAGATTGCCAGCAATCCCGTAACCAACCATTTGTGAGCCAAGCAAAAGGAAGATCTGACCGGCTGCACCAGGGGTATCAGTGTAATAAAGTTGCTGAGCAGATAAGATATAAGTTGCATAAGCACTTGCATTGGCAGCAGAAACTGCTACATAGATACAAGTGTGTTCTTTGACATTGAATGGTCCAGGATTTAACCAACCCCCCTGAGGAAGTACACGAGCCCATGTTGTGCATACAAGATATGCAATAATTAACATGAATGTGTTTGTCAGAGGAATACCCACAGGCTTGAATGACATGACTTGATGGACAGACGCACTCAATGCGGCAAGAATCTAATAATTACAAGTTAATTGAGCTGTTTTCATTCAACACACACTTACACAACCAACAATTACGGAACGAAAGGTTGCGGCCCTTAATGTGGGATCATCATCCGTAATAGCCACATCGTTAATGATGGCCATATCGAGATCTTCTTCATTCTTATAAGAGAATATATTCTCATCACTGGATTTGCTTTCTTGGTCTAGGTTTTTCTCTCTGTAATCTTTGACCCAAGCGTCTTCTTTGTGATCTGATTCTGTCACAACTTTTTCAGAGATTTGTTGTGTCATAGTCAATCGTTGATTAAACAAACAAGTAAAATAGGAGCTTTTTTATACAAACAAAAACAGAGAGAAAAGAAAAAAGTGAGATAAACCTGTCAGCTTGTATCATTTAGAACTGCTTGATTTGTGTACTACCTGCCTGGTTGGATGGCGTCATGTGCCAGTGTTTTGATTGCTTCACTTTTTAAAAACAGAATTAAAAATTCTAACTGGAGCCTTAACAGCTACACAAAAATGGTATTATTGTCTTGCTCTCAACTCATTTTTTGTTAATATTGTGCAATTTCTTCATTTTTAAGAAAATTTTGTCAGATGTTGTAGTTGTTGAGATAAGATAAAATATCTTGGCTTTTCTTTTTTTCTTTTATCATTCACATACACATGTATATACCACATTATTTGATGATAGTAGAGTTGTACTGAATTGCAGCCATGCCTTTCTTCATTCAAATTATTCAGGCTCTTTATCGGGATCATTCACCTCTAATTCCGATGCTACACGAATTCAGAATCGTGCATAATCTGTGCACATCTGGCCCGTATATGGACAAAGAAGATACTCGTCATTGCGCTTGGCTTTCTTTACCTCAAATCATCACTGATCGCCAAACTTGTTCGTGTGCTTAATATGACAGAAACGAAATCATGATATTGCTGACTAAAAGAAACATTGATCGTTGCATCACCTTTTTTTTTAAGCTCATCGTTTTTTGGAATCTATTTTAGAAAAATTTTTTCTCTTGGTTTCAGTATAATAAATCAGGTACGACATTTGATTCGTCCATCCTTTGTTTTAACAAATTCTTAATTGAGAATTAAAACAAAAGTCAGAATCCCTCAGTTGGTCCTGATTCGGCTTCAAGGGTGATGTTGTTTTCAGAGTTGGCAATTGAATTTGCAACGGCTGTACTAATAGCTTCTTGTGCTACTGGCTTGTAGCAATATCTTTCAAATGTATTGTGATTTAAACTCGAATTCCCATGTTCCTTTTCTTGTTGTATAGAAAACCCATTTTGTACTCCTTTTGTGCTCGAAGCTGACCTCATTGAGTGTACTTTGAAGATTCTTGTATCAATTCTTGCCTTGGTCATTTCTTATTTTACCCAGTTTGCGGAGATCAGCTTGTTTTTCTTATAACTGATATATCCAAGTAACAAATTGTGGTCTTCTGGTAGATTTTGTCTTAATGCTGTTGTCTTCTTCAAAAATATCTCGAAAGTCTGTACAGGACATACATCTTCATCATTCATTAACCCTAGCTTTCTAGTTTTTTTTTGTGCTTCCTTCGGTTGTCTGACATGCATCATCACACCTGTGGTCCCTTGGTCGTTATGTTGTAAATGTATATATCTATGTTGTAGACGTCCTATGTCTGATCTTGGTCTCCGCATGGTAGCTATACACAGTAGTAATATTGTATTTATCTGAAGGCCTTCTAAGTTGAGTGTAGATGTATTTCTGCATGTCTTCTTTATATAGGTTGCACATATTGATAAATCCCACATGCTTGTTTGGGTTGCTCTTAGTAGTTTTTCTTGCTTTTTTTTAGGGCTACAGAAAATTCTCTAATGATTGGCTCTTCGGCTAAGGTTGGTTTATCCTTATGTATCTTGTTATAGACTGAGGCTATTGCTGACCTTAAGGTGCTTAAATGACTACTGTTATACCTTTGATGTGCTACTAGAAAATTTGCCACATTGACTGGGTTGTATGTTTATGGGTCTGATATCGGTTGTTGTCTACCACACTAGTCTACCCATTTCCTCCAACCGTTGTCGTATGCCTTTTTTGTTGAATCTCGTACGTGATCTTCTAAATACTGTATTATATCTCCGGTAAGGCCAGTGTCTTCCTCTTGTTCCTGAAGATAGCCAAGCGACTGGCTTCTAATTTCTGTTCAGTTTCATTATCATTGATTGTTATAAATATCGTTGTTGTAGCAACATCGGAAATCAGTGTTGTGTTGGCCACCAAGGGGTGACTAGGATTGCTTTTTTTGTCCTCTTTTTCTTGATTTCTTGTTATATCCTGGGTATTAGCCTCCAATGTGGGTAAAGGTACATTCCCCTCTTTTTCCATCTTTGTTGGAATGCATATATTGCTGTTGCCTCTGGATCTAATCAGATGCTCCAACAACTTTTCAGTTGGTGATTGTGACATATTGAAAAGCATCTATTTTCATTGGATCCCATTTCCTTTATATCTTTTTGAACATCCATCTTGGTATAGTTGATTTGTATAGCGGTTTCTTGATTCTGCTCAACTTGTCTGCTGTATTGTTCTCTATGTTTGAACTGTGCTGGTATATTATATTCAATCTGTATTTGTTTGTTAATTCTTGTGCCTTGATCGCTAGGCCTTGAAGAAGTTCTGAATTGGTTTTCCCTTCTTTTGCCGTATATTTCAACGCCTTTATGTTAACGACGGCCCCATTCGATATCTCGAGATTTATGTAGAACCTCATCTCGATGTTAATGATCTCGGCACCAATGGTGTTGAATTCAAGGATTCGAAACTAAGAATAATTCCTTGCAAAGCCATAGATGACAATTGGAATATTACAAATGTCAAGTTATCCCACTTGCCAATGTTGCCTCGTTCTGAAGTCTTGGAAGGCTTAAAGGTCAGTCTATCTCCTTTTGGCCAAGTTATTGACGTCGGCATAATAACCGAACCTAATATTGGGTTTTTTATGGGATCCAGCTATGCTGTCATTGGTACTCCTAGACAGTCAGGCAAAGATCAAATCAAGTTTCAGGAGTTAGCCCACAACGTTCGTTGGCGGGAGGAAAAAGATGAGGTTTTTTATGCTACATGGAATAATATGTCCACTTGGTGTCGATATTGCTATCAGACTGGCCACACCAAATTCGAGTGTGAAAAATCGAAGGCACGAGTCATCTACTATCAATGTCATTTATTTGGTCATCGATCTTTTGAATGCCCCCGCAAAGCTCCCATGAATCCTTCAAAGAAGCGCAAGATTCCCGCACTTCAGAATCAGACTTCACAAAAAATGCCTCAACCTGCTTCCAAAGTGGACCAAATGGTCTCTTCAACAGAAGCATTAAAGTCTAAGTATGCTCCAAATGACAAACGTGCTTCTTTGACTAGAGCCAAGAAGGATATGAAAGCAAACGCCATCAAAGAAGGAAATGATAGTGATGATGCTATGTCTGAAGATGGCGAGAGTGACGAGGAAGGTTCAGACTATGTACCAAACGATGGTCATGATAGTGACAGTGACAGAGATGAATCTGAACAAGAAGAGAGCGTTTCAGCAATGGAGTTAGATGGAGTCAAGGGGGACGCCATGTTTGATTTAAAAGATTTATTACCTATGCAGGTGGATTGCAAACGGGCATTGGCTCAACAGATCCACCAAATACAACAAAGGTCTACTGAAGAAATATTGAGCGAGGCCGATCAAAACACTTTAGCTGAACTCAATCAACAATTGCTCCATTTAGAAGAAAGTATACATTCGAAGGGCCCCGCTGCAGGCCAGCAATAAGTATATTTCACTATCTCATCATGACTAAAGAACTCCAACTGCACTATGCGTCACTAAATGCAAACAGTTTAGTGAAAACGAATCAACCTAAAACACAAAAAGAATACATTCGATACTTAAGACTTTTAAAACTAGACATAATATGCTTTCAAGAAGCCCACTCGGATACACAATCCCGTATTGACACACTCGACATTCTCTTTCAACCAACACAATCCTTTTGGACCCAACATGTGGGAATCGTCTGCTTCTCTTCAGATTTTACTATCTCTGTTGTAGATACCTCACACTCCTTTTCTTCAGATCGATTTCAACTCTATAAGGTGGAACACCCCCAACAATTCTATACACTTTTCTATATTCTTAATTTGTACGCACCTGCGTCAAACAATTCCGAACGTCGATCCTTTTACTGTCAATTACACAATATGCTGAATGACTTCAGAATCATTATTTCCCTTGACCAATTGATCATCTCTGGAGATTTCAACTACTCTCATTTACGAATTGCTGATCTACCCTATGTTACCTATCCTCAATGGAGAGCTCGGCTAGAACAGTCCTTCACAAATGCTATGACTATTAATAATTTAGAGGACAGTCCCACGTTTCAAAGACGATCCAGGGATAGTTTCTGTTTCTCTACCATTGACTATATTTTTGTTGGCGAAGATATACGACAAGGGCTCACAAACTCCAATATCTCATCATTACCAGCTTCATGGTCAGACCACTACATATTGCAAGTTGAGTTTGTCCTAGGTATGTCAAAATTTGGACCAGGTATATGGCGAGGAAATCCGACTTTTGCTACACACAAAAGGTTACGCAATTCCATAGAGAAGCGTATCAACAAGCTGGTAGCACAATGGACTGATGATGATACACCTCAAGAACGGTGGGAGCAGGTCAAACTGACAACTAGAAAAGTTGTTAAATCGTATGCAATCAATCATAACAACTGGAGAGAACAGACACTTCGGCGCTTAGAAAAGAAACGCAATCGTATTTTACGAACGAAGCCGCTTCTAGCACTCAAGCTACAACTTCTTCCTCCCCTAGACACTCAGATTCAAATTGCTATCATCAAATATGGCATCCGGTAGCAGGAAAATGGTGAGACAAACATTCCTTTTCTGAAGCAGATACATAAAAAACGAACGCTACAGCAGTATATGTCTGGATTCAGAGACCTCAATGGCCCCCATCCTGAGATAGTAATTTCTGAAACGACAAGCATGAAGCGCATTGCTCAAGAATTTTACCAACGACTATACACTCCCGACACTGTCGCTCCTGAAGACATCAACAACTACTTAGGGCTAGTCAATTTCGAACGCAAACTTAACGAAGACGATACTGATCTCCTGCTTGAACCGATAACCATCAATATACTTCAGGAAAAGTCTAAACGCAGTCCAAAACAAAGTAGTCTAGGTAGCGATGGCCTAGGTTATGCGTATATACGCCTGCTTTTTGAACTTCCTGTTTTGGAGCCATTACTAGAACAACTGTACAACGATGCTCTTGTTCATGGTGTTGTTCCACCATCTTGGAAAGACATTCGAGTAAGACTGCTGCCAAAGAAGGGCGACCTCAACGATCTAAAGAACTGGAGACCTATCTCGCTAATCAACTGCGATGCAAAAATCTTTACAAGGCTATTGACCAAACGCTTCGGCCCAGTTATGCAAAAAATTATCAATCCTTATCAAACAGGATTTCTCAATGACAGATTTATTGGCGATAATGGAATGTTGGTGCATCTGATACTACAACAGGCAAGATGCCAAAACCATCCTGGTATCGGCTTACTTCTTGATCAAGAGAAGGCGTATGATCGAGTTCATGCCGGATATCTGACTCAGGTGCTACGTGCTTTTGGCTTTCCCCTTTCACTGATTGATAGCATTAGTAGTCTATTCTTTGATAATTCAGTGTATATTAATATTAATGGATTCTTCACGGAACCAGTCAATCAGAAGCAAGGTCTACGTCAGGGTGATCCTCTTTCACCAATACTGTTCAATCTTGCTTTGGAGCCACTATTATTGTCTATTCTTCAAGATCCATTGTACCAAGGTTATTCTTCTTCGAATTCCTCAAGCAACCAACAGATCAAATGCCTAGCATATGCGGACGACATCTGTGTCTTTGTCCACGACCAAAATGACTTTGTACGCCTTCAGATTCATTTGAACAATTACGCTAAGGTCTCTAATGCAATTTTCAATCAGCACAAGACCGAAGCATTTTCATTGAGTGGTGATACTGTGTCTTCCTGGTCAACACTGTTAAGGCAACACCGAATTGACACCTATTACTCCAAATCTTCACCAACTACCCTGAGGTATTTAGGTTTCTACATGCCGTATACTAGTACACAAAGAAATTTTGTTCAGGATATGCTACTTGACAAAGTACAAACACTGATTTACGTTTTCTCACAACGACGCTTGTCTCTTCGAGGATGTGCAATGATTGCAAATACTCTCATCCTGTCCCAACTATGGTTCTGTCTGCGGCTTTTCCACCCGACACAAGCATTTTTAGACCAAATACGGCGGTTGATATACAAGTTTGTCTGGCAAGAGAAATATCCCAAGGTATCTTTCGATCAATTATGTCTTCCCCGTCTACAGGGTGGCATTGGTCTTCTAAATCCTGCGCGCCAACATTTAGTACTCCAGATGAAATGGCTTTTTGCTCTTTTTGATCGAAACCAAGGTAACACGCTGCTGAAGAGTGCTTTAAGCCATCATCTACTATTTATGTCTACCAGCTCCTCCTTTCCTATTCTGCCTTTCTTTTCTCCAGTCTTGCGAAAACATGATATCTGCCATCAGTTCTCTATCATTTTTTTCATGTTTTAAGCATTTGACCATTTTGGAATTGACTTTAACCTACAGCATTTTCCTTTAATTAGGATGTTCTCTGACCTGCCCTATGACCATTGGCTCTATCGACATACAGAATTGCTTGCAATGATCTTCTTCAAGTTTGATGAAAACACACACCGGCTACGTCTACAAGTACGCACAGAGTATTCCAAGTTTCCCCTCTTATGCCGTTCGCTGTACAACGATATAATGATTCGACATTGCGTGCAGCTACAAACCTTTTTGATTCCTTATATCTATAATGAAGTGGAGCAAGTAAATGTTGAAGAAAACGATCAATCATTAGTGAGCCAATTGCATGACTCTCCTCTTTGGAGCCAATACACGTCCAAGGCTTACAGGATGCATAATTATTCCAGTGCTTCAAATACTCAATTGAATTTGCCATCTAAATTGCTGCGTCTGTTCTGGTCTTCCTCAATGTCTTTACCTTCCAGAACTTTGTGGTTCAGAGTTATCAATAAGAAACTGCCTACAGAAGCACAACTGTATAAAATCAATCGCGTTCCCAACAGTAATTGTCGCCTATGTTCTTCGAGTATTGACTCATCTGAACATTTCATTCTTTACTGTCCTTGGAAATGGACCATTTGGATTGAAGTCCTCACTTATTTCTATCCACAGATGTATTTTTCAGCTGATACGGTTTATCGCCTACTCTGTCTCGAATCCTGCCCTCCTTTCCTACTGCCTGACAGCCGTCTCTTTACGGTTCTATCTGTCTGCCAATGGAGAATATGGTCCGCTTACTGGCGTTTCGCCTTGGACAATCAACCCTTCAACCCTGAGTGGGTCATTTCCGACATTATTAGTCAGACTTTGATCTCACTACAACAACATTATTTGCTCGTAAACGCTTTTTGAGTCTCTCATTGACTAATTTTGTGCACTTTTTTTTCAGCTTATCCACGTTACACCCCTCTGTGATGTGTAATTTGATGCAATCAAAGTTCGTTACACACTGTAATCAGTACAAAAGAGGCTCATTTCAGCAGAAATTGGCTAGTAGACAGACACTCATACTTACATCATTCGATGCGCAAACGATAGACGAGCAAGACATACTATAATACTTGGTATTTTTGAGGCCCAAAGAGAGCAGACGAGGACAGGATAAACAATGAAAGATGCATACTAAGGGAGTGGTGGTAATTTAAATTCCGGCAATTCTTTTTTTCTGCTAATTTGTGGGACGATTCTTAATTGTAAAATATAAACAAAAGCAAATAATTATTTGTCAGTATGTGTTACATAGAATCTGTTAAAAATCATACCAACTGAGGATTTTTGGTTATAAGTAATAGTTAATGAGGATTGTGTAAAGAGGAAAAAAGAAGAGAAGGATGAGGGTGTAGTCTTTTAAGTAAAACAACGGATTCAAAGTCAATGACCATTTACTAATGTATTTGACAGGTTTAGGTTCACTGCCTTTTTTTTTCCATGAGGTGCTCTTGTATTCTCTATCCTTTTAGCTATACTAAAAGACGAAGCTCAGTGTTTCATTGCCGCCTTTGAGCCTTACTATGATTTAGATAACTTACAAGTCGCTTGCAAGTTATCGTGGCCGTATCTTCAGTATGTTCTTGCAATCAGTACCTGCGTATTTTATGATTCCATTAGTTTTGTTTTCTTTTTCTTAATTTTGACTGATGTGGAGTTAAACGTTAAAGCGAGTTATAAGTGATGTAAAAGAGCAGAAAAAAAGAATTGCCGGAATTTAAATTACCACCACTCCCTTAGTATGCATCTTTCATTGTTTATCCTGTCCTCGTCTGCTCTCTTTGGGCCTCAAAAATACCAAGTATTATAGTATGTCTTGCTCGTCTATCGTTTGCGCATCGAATGATGTAAGTATGAGTGTCTGTCTACTAGCCAATTTCTGCTGAAATGAGCCTCTTTTGTACTGATTACAGTGTGTAACGAACTTTGATTGCATCTTTGAAGCCAATGCTCAAATGGACTCGCTTTTTTTTATTTTCAAACTCGCTTTCTCTTCCTTGGAAGTAGAAATGGTCTTACCTGATTTTGGTTGGATCAAACCTACATTAGGTCATTCCAAATTTTTTTGATCGAGTTTTGTTTTTTTCATCTTCACATAAATTCCATTCAAGTGACAAACAATGGTACTGTTCGGTTTCTAGGTTCAAAAGAACATGTTCTGACTGAAAAAACGAACCATTTTGATAGTCTGGTTGTCGAGTAATGATCCATCAAAGAATAGTGCATTTAACCTGTGTTTTGGGCATTTTTGCTCTAGATGTTATATAAGATGCGTTGTCGATGGACTTCCAAAAATATATTATGTTACCTTGAGTGCCAAAGAACATAGAGAAATAGCAATATGAGCATTTTCTTATGTAGATGTGGGAATAAATAGACATAGAACATACAGGATAGCTGTGTGCAAAGATTGAAACGAGTTCAATTTGACTGTCCACTCTGCCACATCCAGAATTGGGCTTTTGCTGAGAACTGCATAAAGACGCTTTGGTGTAATAATAAAAGCTATAGATCTTGGCTTTCTGAGTCTATTGATGTAAAGAACACAGCAGCTTTGCTAGCAAAATATTGAGAAAATAGACCGACATGTTTACGAAGTTCTCCACTTGTATCATGTCATCTTCATAACACGCTTGGCAAGCAAACACATGCACTAAAACTACAGCCTCTGACGCTCATTTTGAGTACTTGAACTTGTTGATAGCTTCATTTTTCGTCTTGCAGCGTCGAAAAGAAGTTCAAAGAGTTGTCAAACTTTTTTTTATGTATTGGATGAAAGTTTTATTTTAAAAAAAATCATCGTATAAATGAAAACTAGTGTTTGTGAAGCAAAGTGACTAGCCATATGAAATATCTCGAAAACAATGCTTTTGTGAAAGCATTCAGTACGATTATATGAGTCTTATATAATCCCAATAAAATAGCTGTCATCTGGGCTACCCCTTAATATGTGCTAAAAAACATATATTAAGTTTTTCGTTTGTCGCTCCTTAGAGTCAGTATTCTTTATATCTTGTCTAGTTCAATGCTACAGATGGTAATACTAATACCACAAGTAAAGGACACCATTTCAATTACTTGGCACTTGACAAAATTGTTGATACCCAAGAGATACAGTCTTTGACAAGGGATTGTAACAAAATCCAGAGCACCACCAAGAGTGACCAGACCAACGTACTAAAAAATTCTTCAGACGAAAGAAAGGTGAGGAGTTGTCAAACTCAAGATTTCCACGAGTAATACCCTTTGGTTAAAAGCCATTTTTGACCAAGTTTTACGAGTCGCTTTTTTTGGTTCAAATCAACTCCAAGGGTATCATGGATGTTAGCAAACATTGTTTGTAGGCATTTAAAGTAATCAGGAGAGTACAAACAGGCTTTATTTTACCTTTGTATGCCTAAGAAAAACATCTGTATGAACTAATGGAGGAGGGAGTTTTTTTTCCGTTGTCAAAGTATTTACATACCTGAGGTCTCTGTTACAACAAGTCATTTATCAGGAAACTGTTTATTCTTATTAAAGCCCGCTTGGTCCATTGAGCTGGCGAGTCCAGTGAACTGAATTGAAGTAGACACCATTTATTTTTTGGAACAATGTGTATTCGATAAAAATTCACAGGCTAGGGGTTCCCTGAGATACATTTAATATTCACTTTACACAAGTCATATGGTGCATACTATGAAAATATACCTAAGCAAGCTATCCTGTGACATGCAAAACACAATTACATAAAGGACATGCATTTGATCCACTAACAAGCTAGTGGATCTGGCCTTATTTGACTTCTCAACACTATTACTGAACATAACAATTCTATCATCCTTAGTCTTCTTTTCGATATATATGGTTTTTCCCTGAAATAATATGCAGCACTGTATGGCGTACTCTGTAAATTTTTTGGTAAATAAAAAGAAGAAAAAAAAAACGCGAGTATCTGTTTAGAATCCCAAGTACATGTCACGAAACAAAATGGTTCATGTTTACTTGAATGCCTTTTTATGCAAAAAGAGGTCTTTGTTTTATTATTGTCAGTGGTACGTCTTTCGTTAAAACTCAGTCAGGAAAAGGTTTATGCAATCTTATTAGTAATATGCATATCTTTAAATGAAATTTAGTGTTAGAAGCAGTTTTGTTTGGCAACCAAGAGTCAAAAAAAGCAACTCATCTAGTGTATCGAAACAAAAAAAACACGATTAGAAACAGATAGAGCACTAAGAATAGCTAAATATCCTTAAATACGTGATTATGAAACAAGGACCATTTTCCTTTATCATTATGGAGTTCCTCTTACCTTTTGTATAGACCTATTTTTTATATAGCCAAATGATTATAAGAGCGCAAATCTCGCGTTTTTTTTTTTATTTATACAGAAAAAGTTTATTTAGCAATCAAAGCCTTGCCTTGAGTAGTAACTTCACCATCAGCTTCAACACCAGTGATATGATCGCTGTCAAAAGACAAAGCATTTACGGACTCATCAGGAACGGAAACAGAGAAACCCTTGATGGCAGAGTCATATCTGTGAACAATCTTGGCACCGGAAGATTCAACTTCCTTGATCTTTTCTTCAATAACTTCACTAGGGGTATCTCTCTTGAAGGTAACAATATATTGGGCTAATACTAATTTAGTATCAGCTTATAGAAGCTTTCCTTACTTACATGACATTTTATAGATAAAGGCAATAAAAAAAAGGAAAAAGCAATCTCGAAAATACACCTTTTATAAGAAAAAGGACATACTTGCCTTTCAAGTTCAGATGCATCAGGTGCTGCTGAGCCAATCAAGGCGGTTTGCCAAACATCATCCCGAGAAAAAACTACGTAACAATTTGCATAAACGACACATGATGTTTGTTTACTTGGCAGTGTCTATATGGTTTGTATATACATAGCGTATTCTAATCAAGACTATACATATAGAACAAGAGGTATATATATATGTTTATATTATATGGGAAAACTTGTTTAGCTACGCAAAGTTTGAAAAAAAAAATAAAGAGGACAACGTCATTGACTAGACTAGGAATAGGATTCCTTCCTCTCTTTTTGCAATGTAAATCTTTATCTACTAGAATTGAGCTTTATGTTCAAGCTCACCCACAGCTGACATAACCGTTTTACGTACAAACAAAACTAACGCATCATTGCTTGAAATACTCTGATAAAGTTACTATATACAAGGAGTAATTGTACTACAAAGCCTTTCTGATTAGAAAACATGTAGCTTTTTCTCGATTGCTCAAATCAAGAAATAAGGGTTTTGAGTTGAAAATTTGTTTAGTAAACTATCTAGAACTATTTGCCAGAGTAGACTTATAATAATATTTTTACAACAGAGGTGTTCATACAAATACGCCCCTGGACAAACAATTTTTTGGGTGCACAATCTTTTTTCCACTTTTATACAAATGCGTCTTGCCCTGAAAGACATTCACATTTTTAATGTTAGATCGTTTAACAAAGCTTTTTCAAGCAGATTTCAAATCCTCATAAGTTAGGAATATCTCTGCCATAATCAAACACCTCCTTTCTCATGTTTAAATAGCATAGCTCCATCATTCTCTTTTCTCACTCAAAAAAGGCTGTTATCCAATTGTGGAGAACTTTTTATCTGTTTCTAAACAAGCTTCAACATTGCAATATCTTCAGGAATGCCAAAAACACTTTTATGGGTAAACTAGAGATCGAGGATTCAGGTTTCTATTAGAATAAGTGTGTGTGTGTGTGTGTGTGTGTGTGTGTGTTTCATGCAAAAGTTCAAGAGGACATATAAATTATGCTGTTATGTATTTTTTTAACAAATGAGTATGGTTCCTGAGTGACAAAATAATGAATTCACAATATAAACGCGTCCATTCTATTTATAAGGCCATTCCCTTTAGCCTTTTCAAGAAGGCGCCTGGCAAAAAAGAAAAAAAAACCCTCACGGCCCTTAATTAAGATGACATACAGGAATCGGAATCTATTGCTTAAATTGTGGGGTTGTGTACCCATGATGTCAGGAACAGACGATTCTCCCGACTTTTCCTTGATTCTTTCTACCAATTATAAAAGATTTCATTTCTTTTTTCTTGTTGTCAACAATCATGCCAAACACACTTCCCCATACCTATACTGATATTATTGTCAATGGTAAACCAACACATCCTAATGATTTCAAAGTGGTGCGTCAAGGTCCTCCTGAATCGTTCTCAAGCAAATTAGTAGCTGAACGTGCTTTTCCTGAAGGTTCTGTGATTGCTCCTTTGGAAGGTTTGACACCAGGGGCTAAACGTTATTCTACTGTCCAAATTTCAGAGACAGAGCACATTGAATTGAATAGTGACTTAGTGTTCATGAATCACTCTTGTGATCCTTCTACTCTTATGGATGTGGATCGTATGGTTGTTACTGCTACAAGGGACATTGCTGCTGGCGATGAATTAACATTCTTTTATCCTTCAACGGAATGGGATATGGGTAAGTAAACATGTGAATTATAGTCATGACTTATGTATGTGAGATTAGCACAACCCTTTTCTTGTTGGTGTGGTTCATCCAAGGTAGGCATATAATCAAACTAGGAAAAAAAAAGAGAGAAGTAATTAACATTTTTTCATAGTGTATTGAAACCGTACAAGGCGCCAAGTACTTGTCAACAGATACCCTAAACAAGTTCAAGTCAAGCAGACACATAAAGCAACTTCTTCAAAAACGTGACACTTAAGTTGTACATAAATAAATACATTTTACACAAAGCTATATTTTATTGTTTTGAATTTATGCAAAGGCAAAACCAGTGGAGCATTCACTGATGGCCTTAAAAAGATTAGTTCGTAAGCTTTCATAAGAATTGTATTGAGGTAAATCTATCTGGTTGAAACATGTGTGGGCAGAAGGAAGACGGCTTTCTCCACCAAAGTCTTTATGAATCTGGAACTTTTGAACGCCACCTGAGCCTTGAAGCTGACTAAAGCCTTCCAAAGGTACTTTGGAAGTACCAGTGGCAAATTGTAACAGTTTAGCACGTTCTTCTTGGTCAAAACTTCTAACAGCACGCCAGAACCATTGAATGCAAGTGGAAGAAGGAGTATAGTTTCGGTATTCGGTGTTGTTCTTCCAATCATCAATGTCAATATCGGGTAAACCAGAAATCAATAATTCGAGTTCTTGCTCATTGAATATTTGAATCAAAGAGGCAGGGATAATATCATGGAAGCCTTGTAAAAAGGCATTGATCTGATCCTTAATGGCTGTCGTTAATTTCTGTTCAGTGACAAGTGCAACATATTCATGCTTGTTGGCCTCAGTAACAGGGATATTTCTACCGTTGGGCTTCAAGTCTACAGTTTCTTTAGTACCAAAAAAGTCGGTTTCAATACTAAACGTCAAATCAATGACATCAGTAATATCATTTTCGAGCATCCAAACAAGACTCTTGTAATATTCAGGATCTAAAGCTTCTACATCACGATAATCCACGGTACGGCCCAAAATATGTTTGTAGAAAGATCGAGTGAAATAGGCATCTAAAAGACGACCATCATAAATAGCCTTACCAATCACACGGCCAACAAATTTGAAGAAACTCAAGTGATCAGGATTGACAGCAGAATCGCGATTGGGTTGGTAAGTAAGTTTGTCAGCAGCTGAGGTGATAAACAAAGCATAGTTGGGATCAAACATCTGTCTAGCCAAGACAGAGAACCATTCACGAGTAACACCTCCTACATCTAGACCTTCTTCATTACAAAAACGAACACCCAATTTGCCATTCTTGATTTCTTCACCTGTACGGCCCTGAAGCTGATGATAAGAGTCTTCAAATACATATTGACGACGCACATTGAGTTGTAACATGGGAAAGTTTTCGCGAGGTGTAGTACGCTTATGCAGTTGTTGAACAAAATAATTACGCTTGTTGTCAAACTCGAGCATCTTGGGATTACGGACCAACAGGGCAAAAGAGCCACTCATCAATGTTGGGTTGTTACGGACCATGATGTTCAAGACCTTCTTGTGTTTTTCAGTAAAGGCAAAGAAGAAAGATTCAGGTGAAGCAGTGGACAGATTCAACTGTTGCTCAATAGCAGGTGTAGTCGTCTTTTCAGTCAAGCTATTTTGTCCCTTTTCAGCAGCACATTTAGAGACAACCATAAAGGATTCAATCAATGGAAGCAAGACAGTAGCCACATTAATCAGTTCTTCCTTTTCATGAATCATAGACAAGCATTTGCCAAGTGTTTGCCACAAAGACAAGAAGTTGAGATCTTGATAGATTTGAAGCACACGCTTTTCATTCTTGATCTGCTCAGATTCTTCATTTGACTCGTTTGGATGAAAAGATTTACGAAGGAACATGTAATCCAATGTCTTGAGCACACGCAACACTTTAGCTTGATGAGAAGTGGCGGCAGAGAACGGAGCAAGCACAGTACTACTAATTTCTGTACCAGGCATAGTTGTATCCAACACATCCAACAAGGTTTCAAGATCTTTTTGAATTTGAGTACTAGATTGTTTAGCATCTTCCACAAGTTCATTGACAATTGTCTGTTGAGCACCATCCAAGGAAGACAAGTGAGAAATAGCATTCAAAGTATATTGGAATGTCCTACTAGAGCATTCACCGTTGGTAAGCACATGAACAACTAACTTAAGATAATAATCAGGGATCGTTGGAGGCTTTGGCATGGGTCTTTCAGATAAGGCAGGATCCTTTTGCTTGTTTTCAACCTTTTCTTGGTATTTCTTGACAAGGATAGGGAAGGGACGACACATGGTAGAGAGCAAGTCCATCAATTGTTCCATCAAAGTAGAGTTATCAATGAATACAGCGCGATCAAGTAAACTCATCAAGATTAAGATGGGATACTTGTTCCAGCTGTTGGAGACTTTTTCTTTGCTCTTACCCTTTTTACTGCCTGAGGGTCGCTTCAAGCCAATCAAAGATTCACTTTCAGTCAAAAAGTAAGCCATGGATTGTTCATTGCAAGAGACAATATAAGTCAAGACTTCTAAACAACGCTGAGTAATAAAGTTAGGCACATTCTCAGTGGCTGTGCCTGTAGTTTTGCTGGATGTTTTGGGTTGCGATACCTTGCCGGCGTGTTTACCAGAAGTAAGGAGTGCAAAACTATTATCGACAGAAGCAAGGTCGTTGTTACCATCATAAAGCACACAGACAAGGTAAGAGAGAAGGTCGCAGCGAGTCTTGCTGTTCTCGCACAAGTTCAACAATAATCGATTCAATAAGGATTTGGAGATAGTTTGTGGGACAAACAACAAGCGAACAAGAGTACTCAATTGAGACTTTTCAACAAGCTGAGCTGCACCATCCGTGCGACGAGCCTTGGCTTTCTTCTTGGCAGAGCCGGATGCTTGAGCATCGTCTTCAGCGGCCGCAGGTCTTCTACGAGAAGAAACAGGATCTACACAACCATGAGTGGATGTTCTTTTAAACACAATGACTTACCTAAAGTGGATGGAGTATTATTTGCTGAAGCCGGTGTGTTGGTAGGCACTTGTCTGCTCTGTCTTTCACGTCTTTCGCGCTCAATAGCTTCTTGTTGCAAGACCTCTTCACGGATTTCTGGTGGTAAGGCATCTAAAAATTCAGGACTAATGGAGTTGTCCTCAGCAGTCTGAGCAGGCGCAGGTCTGTTGCGCAAATGCTGGTTGACCACTTCTTCTCTTAATTCATCAGGCAATGCCTCCAAGAATTCTACATCAATACCGGTACCGGAGATGTCAATAGGCTGACCATGGATTTCAATGGTAGTGCGCTCAGTCGCTTCTTCTGCAGCTGGCTGTGCATCTGTTGTACTTTCAGCGTTTTCGTCTTGTTGAGCGTTTTCTGCAGTAGATCCTTGTTCTTCAGTGGCTGTAGCGGCAGCAGCTTCAGCAGCAGCCTTCTTGGCTTCTTTTTCCAAGCGCCATTTTTCTTCTTCAGTCTTACGACGCTCTTCTTCCTCTTTGCGTCTTTGTTCTTGACGTTTCTTCTTCTCTTCTTCACGAGCTTTCTTGTCATCTTCAATAGCAATGGGCACAAGAGTATTGAGGATTTCGTTCACAAGGTTCAATGCTTTTTCACTCAGATTGGTGCCATACATCATACGAGCTTCTTGGTTCCATCGTTCACCTGAAGACATGGGTTGGAAGTCATGTAAAATGGCCAGACTTTCTTGAGCATTGGCGTTGTTGTTGGCGCTGATGCTTTGGTGGCTGTGGATTGTGCCTACATGAGGGAGACGATCGATTTCAATTGTACGCATAACACCGCCAGGACCATGTTCTAAATCCATCCGTAAAGGACCTGGTTGATTGAGAGAGACAGTGTTACTCAAAAGATCTTCAAGCATACGAACTGCATTACCGCCCATCATGTTTTCAAAGCCTTGCCAGTTGCTTAAATTAGAGACTCGAGAAGGACGATGAGAAAAGGTGTCATCAAGCATACTGCGAGCTGCATTGCCAGTACCAGATTGTCCATTAGCATTGTTGGACAAAAGAGGGTGAGTAATGATGTCTTCTTGACCATGAGTACTGCCTTGACCTCTAAACGAGCTTCCGACTAACAAACGTATAAGTACATACAACAATTTTTTGACAAACTTACCTCCTTCAAGCAAAGATCTTCTCACATTAGGGAAGCGTCTTCTGAACCCAGGTGGAACAATCGAACGCGATCTTTCAATTTCATCTTCTTCCATGACTAAATCGTCCTGTAAATCAGTAGGCAAAAAGGGTGTATCTAAATCTTCAGCATCAAGCAAGACACCATCTGTAATATCATTGTCAGAATCAGCATCCAAGTTTTCAGAAGCATCATCGAAATCAGACAAGGCGTCCATTTCATCCTCCTGTTCATCGATAAGTATTTATAAATTTTTCTGTGTTGGCCTGAATGATTCTTACCTCTTCATAATGATCAGACAAGTGTCGCATATGGTTTTGATCATCACGATCATCTCCAGTATCAATGACGGCTTCAGCATGGACAATGCCAGGTTCCTCTTCAATGTCTTCCAAATGCCAAGTCATCTCTCGACTTCCGTCTTCCTCCTCATCGTCGTCAATCAATTGTGCTTCAGCATCAATATCGTCTGAGTCATCTTGATCTTCGTCCATCTCATCCGAATCGTATTCACCACCATGAATAATGGCTTCCATTTCTTCAACAGGCCCATCCTCTTCATCTTCTTCGTCCATGTCAGATAAATCACTTCCACTTTCTTCTTCAAAACTATGTATAGAATGAGTCATTAGTTTGTGATAATCATACGTACTCTTCTTCGCCTTCAACAGAAGATCCAAACATATCACTGTATTCACCACTGGAATATTCATCTTCATCAATCGCACTACCAGCATCAAACATACCCAAAGCAGAGTTACGATACAAGTCAGGTGCTTCGTCTCCTTCTGTAGCAGGCGCATTAGGCACATGCATAGCTTCTTCTTCTGCTGTATCCATCTTATCTTCCTCTCCTTCATCTGCCTCTGTCTTGATAGCCAACTTGGTCAATTGCTCCAAAGGTCTCAACATGGCATTCAAAATGGTCTTTGAATGAGGATAATTGATATCCACATCACTGATAGCTGAAGTCAACACAGACACAAAGTTCTTATCCAACATGATTTTAGAGTTACTGAGGACCACATCTTCTTTAGTATTGTTATTTTGGTTTGCGTTGCTTAAAGAACGAGCCAAAGAGGAACCTACGTTGGGACGAGCATTCAAGATACGATAGCAAAGATCAGATAGGGCAAGGTACTTGGAGTATTTGACAGAAGCTGTATCAGATGAAGCCACAGCCTCTTTGAGTGATCGAATAATGGCTTCCAAGACATATTTGCGTACTTGGATCAGTTCGTTCTTTTGTTGCGGGGTTAATTCAGTAGTAGAAGAAGCATCATAAGACATGGCCACAAGTGTAGAAATGGTCCAAGTAGACAAGCCTTGTTGCTTACGCGATTCCTCTGATGTAGGATTCAAATGATTGTAAGGCAATAAATCATTGATCAACATCGACACAAACGAACGATGCTTGCCATCCAAAGTCGTGGTACGCTGTCCATTCTGCTTTTTACAGAAATTGAAGATGTCGTACTTGCATGAAGGATAGGAAGAGATCAGTTCGACAAGGCATTGTAGTAAGAATCCAGTATAGACAAACTTGATGTTTTCTTGCTTCTTTTCTTCTTCGGTCAAAGGTTCCTTTTTAGCAGCTAAAGCAGTGACTTCTGTACGGGCTGTCATGATTTCGTTCAAGAGATAATACACCACGGTCTCGGATGAAGAGCTTTGCTTGACAGGAGGTTCTTCTTCGCTTGGCTTTTCGCCTTCTTGTTTCTTGAGCTTGATCTGACGATTGATTTCAAATTCATCAAAACGAGCCAAACGACATACATCCGTAGCAACCTGTACAAATGCATCAGGATGACGAAGAGCCACATGCGCATTACTACGGACAAAGGCACTGATGTCTGTGTTACGAGGACGAGGATTTATGAACCAATTGTTGATGATGTCCTTCATCGTACTCTTGAGTACTGTCATGCTCTCTACGATATGGCGTAAGATCAAGATAATAAACGCTTGTTGACCTTGTAAGCCTTCCAGACTTAAACGAGGTTTAGTAAACAACAAAGGAACACCGCCAATCTGAACAAAGTACAAGGCAGCTTCATGGTTCTTGGTCAAACGCACAATCATACGCAAAATAGCATAAATATCATCGCGTGTCAAGTTGGTCTTGCGGAGCAAAGAGACACAGCATTGAAGCAACTTTTCGCGCTGTTGAGAGGACACTTGAGTAGTTGTCTTAGTCACATCTTCCATAGGGTCATCGTGCTGACTACCTCTTTCCCCTTCTTCGTCTTCGTCTGATGATTTAACCGAAAAGATACTATGGGTATTCTTGGGTGTTGTCAATTTCACCTTCTTGGGTTCATCTGCCTGTGCGATCAATGCTTCCAAGACCAAAAAGGTGGTGGCAGACCAAGCAGGTAATGATTCGTCTGTATCTGAGAACTGCAACATATCAAACAAGAATGAAAATCGGTCTGATAATTGACCCATGGCTTGTTGCATAGGTGCTTCGCGCAGTAACAGAGCCAACAGACGAAGACGACTGCTGAGCAAGACAGACTTTTCTTTATCTTGACGAATAGCAGCAATCTGATCGATCAGATAAGAAATGATCTTGCATGACACCTTGTTTTCTTCTGTTGCATCCCCTTCAAATTTGCCCAAGATCACAAGTAAATCGCGAATATCAAACACAAGGTCCTCACGTTGATCAGCCAAAGCAATCAAAAAAGAAGGCAACAATTCACATAATTCTTGGCGTGTTACTTTCAACTTTTCAGCATTGTCAGAAGGTGCACTGTTGGAACTACCTTCACCAGCATCAAGTAGATCGTTTGAATCAGATAACCGAAGCAAGTTGGCTTCATTGTTGTATTGGTTGTTTAAGGACTCAACAAAGCTTTCAATCACATCTCCCACTCCTCTACGTTCCTCTTCAAGATCTTCATCAATGTCTTCTTCACTCTGATGACCATCTTCAGTATGATTATCATCGCTTGTATCATGTTGATCTTCTTCTTCCTGGTGATTGTCATCGGTTTCTTCTTGTTCTTCTTGGTTGTTTGATTCAGCAGGTGTGTTGGATGTGTGTTCATTAAAGACAGCTGTAGGATGGCTGAACAAATAATCCACAGCACGCGATACTTGATTATTACAACGTATCAACGCCTGTTCAGCAGATGCACGCATGAATCCCATATCCACCAAGGTCTGAATATTACGTTCAGTAGCCACAGGCGTACGCAACAAATTAAAAGGAGAAGAGATCAAAGGAGCCGTGTAACTACCAAAAGGATCATGACTACGTGCATTAGAAGGTGAAGATTCCAGAAATCCACCTTCGCCCTTCATGATCTGCTCAAAGATCTTAATCAAGGTTTGACCCACGCCCTTTGAGAACAAGTGAAGTTGAGAACATGTCACGTACTCCTTGAGTGGGATCAACTTGAGTTCAAGCGCAACGATCCATTCATAAGGTTCAAAGTAATCGTCTGCTTTTTTGTCCTTTTGCGTGAGTGTGCTTGTATAGGCAGAGTCACGGAGTGCTTTAGGTGAACTGATATGAAGCAAGACGTTCAGTAGACTTTCGATGGCCTGGTTGATACGTTCCAGTGTGTCTTTGTGGTTTTCTTTATCAGGATAGATGCCTAATGCTGTACGCCACATCTGATCCAACTGTTCTAACAAAAGGTCCACATTGCCTTGCTTTTCAAACGCAATCGCCAAAGGTGCCTGAATTGAAGACTGAGTACGTTCATCCTTTAACAAGAGTGAAGCCATGGTATAAACAGAAGTTAGGTAATCGTATCTACAAACAGGGGCATCCGACTTGGTGATAGGAGGCCAGGTCATGTTGTCATGGAGAACATCCGAAATGTATTCAGCAAACTTGAGGGTTTGAGACTTGGCCAAGGCGCCTCCTGAACGACGACTGACAGAGATCTTGATCAAGCATTGAAACATGGGCATCACCAATTGAGCAATTTCGGTCAACAGAATCTTGAAGTGCTTGATGTTCATCATACGAGGGTCTTTGGCAGGAGGCACTTGGTCTTCACTGCTCTTGTCCTTTTCTTCGTCTGGCTTGTCCTCTACACTACTGGTACTATGGATACCCAAGGGATGTTCAGATGTACTGCTGGCTCCCTTTTTGGAAGCAGCATTGGATCCAGAGAGAGATTTGGCATGATACCAGTCAGAAGGCAACGCTTCTTTGAACAAGATGTTCTCCCAAACTATGGTTCGGTGTAACTGACCCAACGAACGAATGAAATTGTCTTCTCTAGGCTCAGATAAAAATTCAGTGATCAAAGAAGCACCGTTTTTACCGTGCGACAATATAGAAGAACCACAGATATTGGACAACAAACCCACATACCCGTGCAACTGAATCATTTGTCGAAGTTTCTTGTTACCGCGTTCAATCTTGTCTGTCTCGCTTTGATCCACATCGATAAATTCATTCAGTCGACTCTGATGGTAATCCTGTGTATCTTCCTGAACAACACAAAGCAATTCTTTGACTTTAGCAGCAATCGCAAGCAAAGTAGGCAAAGGACTGGCTTCACTGATCATTCGAAACAAATATGACAGAGAATCAGAAGCAATCGTCACTGAGAAATTAGCAGGCAAGATCGGCAAACTGTAATATTCCAAAAGTTTTTCAGGGCAACCTTCTTCCACGAATGCCTTGATGTTGGCTTGATTTTGAAACAAACCTTCCAAGAACCGAGCGACAAGGTCAATGAACGACACAATCAAACATTCCACTTTATCTTGCTTGTCGTCGTCAGGTTCAACCGGCTGGCTTGACCGTGTCTGTAGTCTGTGACCATCATCACTGGGTTTGCCAGCACCGTCGAGCTTGTTGCCTTCTTCCAAGACTTTCTCAATCAAGCGAGTCACGCACTGAAAGACAGAAGTCTTGAGGGAAGGATGATGGCGGATCAACTCGTCTATGGAGGAACCGAGGCCGGTAGCACTGTCGACATCCAAGGGGTTTCTTAAAAAGTCGTCTGAACTCAACAATTCAAAAAAGTGAGGTAAAGGGTTTTCCTTATTAAACATGTCCAGTCCTTGAGCATTCAGACAGAGAGCACCAAATGCATTGACAGCAGCCAACAAAATCTCTGGGCTTGGGGATTCAAAAGAAGCAATGGTATGCAAAAATGTTTGAGGTAATTTAGCTTCTTGTAAAATAGTTAATGAGGTGGGTTCATTGTGAATAAATGTCGTATTAACATTGGTAGCCAAGGCAAAGATACTGTTGCCAAACAGTTTGGGATGCTCCATAATGGATTTAAGTGAATGAGGAAGGGAAGAATCAATCAGGTTACGAAGACCGTCTGTTGTGCCTGAGGACTCCATCATACGATATAGGAATTTAAGCATGGCTTTGGTCATGGCAAGTCTTTCATGAGGTCCAAACACATTGGTTGACTGAATACTTGCTTCTACTTCAGCCTATCATTTTTTTTTTTAAAAAAAAAGAGTATAAGTTATGTGTTTTTTTTTTACACTTTTTATATATACCTTAATACGGTCTAATAGAGTATCTAAACCATGAACATTACAGAAAGCAGAAAATGAAGTAGAAAATGAAGTGACAATGATATCCAAAAGCCCAACGACTTTAGCAATGCCTTTCAGTTGAGGATATTCATAGTTGCCAGTGATTTGTACCAGAATGGGAATAATACCAGCAGACATCATCATTTGGCCACCGGGTTGTGTAGGCAGTATATAAGAAAGCAAGACAAACAAGGCATCTACAAAAGAGTAAGGAAGTACCTCATTCGCATTGATCTTTCTTAGGATTTGCATGACAGGACCATGATTAGCAGAAGCATTGATGGCTGTGACTACTTCTGTCAGTTTATTTCTATGTCTTGCGATACCATCTAAAGCAAACAGAGTATATGTTTGAAGATGCTAGACAGCTATGAATAATGTGTGTTGATTCCATATGACTTACCCTATCGACTTGCTTTTCTGGGGATATCAATTCAGCCAGTTGTGGAATCAAATAAGGCTCATATAGAAACACTTTGTTTTGCGCAGTCGTTTCCGAGACAGAATGAGCTATATAGCTATATTAGACCTGATAAATCTCATTTCCACTTACACATCACAGCAATAGCTAAAATACGAATGCCTAACAACTGTTTTCGTTTGCTTGGTTGATCAATGTATTTAGCAATACGAATCCTGTTGGCTAGTTCAAAATGATATTCTTTAGGAATATCATGTTCTTCTACCAACTTTGTAAACAGCGAATAGGCTTCTTGTTCTTCTTGATTCAAGTTGGCAGTCACGACTTGGTGTCCTTCTTTTGCTTGTTGCTGTGATGTACGATAAAATTGAAGTTGTAAGGTCTTCATGGTGGGTGTCACTTCCAAGTCTTGTGTAATCTGAATCGCATCCACAGGTACGTGCTGCCAACCTCGAGCAAGTTCAATAATTCTATCTTGAGGTGCCACAAATGAAGTACGAATGGCTTTAGGATTAGTGATACGTTGAGCAGGTCGAGTCATAAAGTGAAGAACTGATTCCAATACATCCAAATCAAATGTATTCAATAACATAAACATATGCTATTAAAGAAGGTAAGATTGTCTTCTTTTGTTCATCTTTACTTGCCTCATAAGAGTTGTAAATATTTCTATTTGTACAGTTTTCAAACAAAGTGCGAGATAATTCAATAATAGATAATAAGAGTTGCTTGTCTTGTTCATAAAAGGACTTTGTTTGAATCTCTTTTAGGTTGTAGTCTGTACAGATTCTGTTCAAGATGATATCAAATCTGTCCAAGACAGCAACCCAATAGAATAAATCACCTCTGGGATAAGGCCAGCGAATGAGTTTCTGAACAAGTGTAGGGATGTGGTCTTCTCCATCTGTTTCAAGTCGTTTGATGAGCTCACTAAGCTCATGAGGCTAATCTAAAGTTAATCTCTTTTTTTTTCTCTCTCTCTGTCTGTGTTTATGATGGACTTACCAAAGGAGCAAGTTTTTGGAAGACGTCTTTTTAATTTTCATAATACTATACAAAAGGTTTTAAGCACTTGTTAATCAATGACACACTAGTCTATACTTGCTTACTCTGTTTTATATATTTATATATATTCTCTCTCTTTTCTTTTGTGATATATAGTCAAAAAAAAGAAAAGAAAAGAAAGAAGCTCTTTTTTTTAAAAAAAAAAGCAGACGCGATATTTATACAAATATAGGTTCGGTGGAGTTTAAATGTATTCAAAGGTGTACGTCATGAGCTGATAGATACACTTTATTGTATTTAAAAAAAAAAAAAAAAAAAAAAAAAAAAAAGAAAGGACAAACACAAGCTTATCATTCATTTATCATGTTATACTAAAGCCTTGCTGTATAGCATTGAATAGTATGTAGTATACTTCTTTATGAAATAAACTAAAATAAATAAATAAGCATAGCAGCATGACTTCGGAGTTCTTTTTTTCTTTTTTCTTTTTCTTTTTTGCTTAAAATACAATGAACACCATTCTCAACTCATGTCAAGATATGCAAAAGAAACAAATAAACATGCAAGATACCATGTTGGATAGACTTGCTTCTTTTAGACAATTGCTCGATGCAAAGAAAAAAGAACTCGATCAAGGCAAGTTGACTATGATGAGTGTAATCCTGATACCATCCTAGGCTATAGTCCCCATCAGACTATGATGCAACTACAAGAACAAGCTAAACAACTTCAATTTCAAAAACTACAAAAAGAATTTCAGTCTAGTTTATCTAAACTAAACAAAGACATGGAAAGGGTAATTCACGGAAGATTAAACTACGGGGACTAAACTAGGTTAGAAATTCAAACAAGATATCTCTGTGATTTATCACCCAGAAGCATTTGCAGGCAAACATGATGTGATGTACAGAGCCATTGCTTTGCATTTCATTCGACAAGGACAGTTTGAATTATGTGATGCATTTATGAATGAATCAGAAATACCTGTGGATGATCCATTGCGTGAGACAGTTGAACAACTCAAGCATGAATTTGAACAAATGTATACTGTATTAAACAAGATAGATAAAGAACAAGATTTATCGGCTGCTATTAGGTATAAAAAAAAAAAAAGAGAGAGAGAGATGATAATAGTAGTAGTATTCATAAAGGATTATAGTTGGGCAGAAGCACATCAAGAAGGCTTAATAAAACTAGGCAGTGGATTAGGATTCAATCTACACCGCATGAAGTTTATTCAACTGTTACTTTCTACTGATGCTATGACAGCAATTCAATATGGACAACAACATTTCCATGTATTTGGTGATAAACATTATTCAGGTAACTTCATTCCTGAGTGGATCTCGATATTAATCATCCATTAGACATCAAGCGTTTAATGACAGCACCCTTGTATATTCATGATTTATCGAATTCACGTTATGCAGACTTATGCTCTCCTTCCAATTGGATTCAGATCAAGCAAGAATTCCAGCATGACTTCTGTTCTTTGCTCAAGATGAGTGCAGAGAGCCCATTGTACACAGCTGTGTTTGTGGGCACGACAGCTTTACCTGTGATCATGAAACTCTATACGATCATGTCAAGTAAAAAGACAGAATGGAGTGCTCAGGATGAATTGCCTGTTGAGGTTCCATTGGATGAAGATCTTCGTTATCATTCTGTATTTGCCTGTCCTGTCTCTAAAGAACAAGCAACGGATGATAATCCACCAATGATGATGCCCTGTGGTCATGTGGTCTGTAAAGAGAGTTTATTACGACTCTCAAGAAGTAGCAGAGCATCTTCTCGATTTAAATGCCCTTATTGTCCCTCCGAATCTTCTGTGGATCAAGCTATTCAAGTTTATTTTTAAAAATAAAGGATTAAGAAAGTTGTTTAGCTCTGTACAACACAATATAAGCAGTGTGCCAATCACCACCACCATCAAGACGTTCAATATCAGCATCTTGAAGCACAGATACTTTATCATCATCAAACTTGTGCCATTCATTGGCTGCTTTCTTGACCCAAGCAATGTAATGGCCTGAATCAGCAGATCGACCGACGTGTGTCAAGACAGCAGCTAATTCATATTGGCCTGTAGGATTACAGCCTACATCTTGCACCAGTTCAGGATCCAAATACTCTTTCCAATCCACTATTTCTGTCGTGTCTGTTTCCATAGGTGTGGGTTCTTCACTGTTGTTCATCTTACGACGCTTTTCTTCTCTTTCTTTAGCTACTTTCTTATCAGCCACGTCTTTTAATTTCAATTTAGCCTTAGAGAACTTGTTCTGGAGTTCAGGTGTACAGAGTTCAGTAGCATCAAACTCAAGAGGGAATTTGACTTTACGTAAAATCTTGGCCTTCACTTGTTCTTGAGGCTTCCAAAAGAACCGAACAAACTGAACAGGCAAGTACTGAGGCAGACGACTGACACGCGATGTACGCTTATATTTGGCCGTGCGGTTGAGTGTAGGCGAGTTCTTTTCTAGTTCTTCATTCAAGGATTCCAGAATACCATTGATCATATAATTAATGTCTAAGAAAAAATATATATAAACATCAGTCTTGATGCCTACAATCATAATGCCTTACTGATAGAGATATGACAACTGAGCTTGGTGAATGTATCGTGTGTGACAATCTTTTGTTCTTCAGGTGCTTCTTCACATTGAGTTCTATAAAAAAAAAAAAAGTCAGGATTTATATCATCTTATACAATTCCACTTACTCTGTCTGTAATTCACCTGTCATGTAACGATCCACAAAGTTTTTTTCAGCTTCATCTTTAGGCAATTTGGCTTTCAAGACAGATACAAGTTCACTCCAACATTCTTCAGCATCTTGTTGCATTGGAATACCACCTTGACCTGTTTGAGAGAATTGAGGAAAGGATTGACGCAACATCTAATCAACGTATTCAATATCCCATGTATCTATATATCGACTGACCTGCCAAAAGACCAAAGGAGGAAATCCATCAGCCACTTTGTTTAAATTGGCATAGAGATCACGAAGACTGGCTACTAAATTACCACGATTATCAACTCCACTTAAACCACCTTGATAGGCTTCTAATGAAGTTTGAAGTTCAGGCATAGCACGCATACATTGCAATGTGGCATTCTATAAGGTGTCAACAGAGAGTTTTTTTTTTTTTTTTTTTTTTAATGGCTTACCATATAACACGTATTACCCAAGTTTTCTAATCCAGGAGGGATATCCAACTAATAGAGAGTTAAGCAATACGGTATCTTGTGAATAAAAACTTACTGCTTCAGCAACTTGAGCATCACTCATGTCTTCTAAGAATTGAACTGGTTTTGGTGGAGGTTTAGGAAGTTCACCAGCAGTACCCATCATCATGAAACTATGACCCTATGGATGAATAAGTTCTATGCAAAGTAGACACCAAAGAGCACCCTACCTCTTTTAAACCCAACTTGTTCAAGTCGGTTGAATCCTGTACTTTTTTTATCAGCAACACTATATAAGGATTCTATTGACTTTACCTTTAAAATACCACCCTTCACCATGATCTTTTGACGTTCAGGAGGAACACCTGTTTGAGAATAGATTTGAGTCTTGAAGAGTTCAGGTGATTCATCCGTGTCTAATAGAAAAAAAAAGGCATCGGTTAGAATAAACGCAAGACAATCTCCTTCTTTTTCTTTTACCTAATTCTAAGTTTTCAAACTTTTTTCCATTCCATTTGACGGTAACGTTAATCTTGGGCATATTGACTTGATGAAAAAGAAGGGACGCGCGTTGAAAGAACTGCGTCGTCCTTTGACTTAAAGCAAACTAAATTCAATGACCGCACAGAGGTATTGCTGTTGGCGATAAATACCCAAAAAAAAATTAGTAGTCACTGTCAGCCAAAATTATCAAAGTGTTTATATGCTAATAACAGTCAATATGAATGAATATCTTTTCATACTCCTTGCTACAAACCATGTTTATGAATGCATAATGTGAGACATTTAGAACAGCAATGAATTTCTAAATAAATTTGCTGTTATATTCTCTTTGAAAATAGCTTGCAATGTCCTGTCAAGTTCAAACAAAAATACAAGGTTCATTTAAGCCATAGAAAAAAGAATTACGTGCTTATTATGCTTCTAGTAAATGAACCGATACTATTGGAAGAAATGAACTGCAGAATACCTATGTCTGCCTAAAGATCTGTGATCAAGGAAAGAAGTTTGTACAAAAAAAAGAAAAGGTAATAATTCATCATGATAGCGTGTGATTGGTATTAATTGTGCCATTCTGAATAATTCCTAAGAAGTCAAAGGCTTGTTTGTTTGTTGGAGATCGAAGCTCAAGGATAAAAGGGCACAGACGATATGAAAGTAGAAACTACTCGGGAGCACAAGTATTGTATGCATCACAAATAAGTATAATACATCCTAGACGTGTGTCTTTTTTGTTTCCAGAAATTAGTCTACCCATTTGACAGAACTGAGAAGGGAACAACCATAGTGAAAAGTGCTTTTGATTGCTTGAATAAGGACTGTATTTCCGTTATGTTTTGAGTGTTTATCGACAGTCAATCAAAATCGTTTATTTCTAATACACAGTAGACATATGATATCTTGATTCTTCAAAATCCTTGATTTGTTGTGCATGTAATCGATGATGACGAGCACCATTAGCTAATCTTTTAGCATAAGCACCCACCACATAAGCAAAGTAAATCTATTATATCAATATATATGTATGTATGTATGTATGTATGTATATATGTATATATGTATTTCATGGAACTTACTTGAATCAATTGAACCACAAATGCAACTGTACCAAATGCAATTAAAAAGGTGTTTGTCATGGCACTACATTCAGACTCAGTAGCAGCATGTTCTGTCAAAAGCCCAGTATAATGTACGGGTGAATAATAAGCTTGGTTACTTGGTTTGGAGACTGTCATTTCATGTCGACTGTTGTTGATACTAACAAATCCAACGACTCTACAAGAATCAATCACACTATGTCTATAGACACCCATCAATGCAAGTGAGATACTATATATCAGAATAGACAGAATCACATTAACCCAAGCAATCACACTGAATGCTTTTGAGAATCGTCTTGAGCCCTAAGAAACAATTGAGTCCTCCTGAGTGATGTATCTCATTTACTTACAAAAGTAGATCCAATCACACCGCATAAACCACCAACACATATAAACACAGCAAACAAAAGATTGATATAGTACCATGGTCTGGCTACTTGACCAGAATACACAACCAACGGATTGACTGCCAAAAATCCTGTGGCTGTATAGAGTAAATAGACAGCCTAATGCTATTAGAAATAACCATTATCATCGTATTACTTACACAAAACCAGATGGCAACAAAAAAGGTGCCTAATCTCAAAGGTATAAAGCAACAGCACTTTTCTAGTCCAACTCCCATAATGAGTATTAATGAAAGGAATGAGTGTTAATGAGTGTAAAGTAAAATAAAAAAAAATAAAAAAGAGGAGGAAATTCAATCTCATGTTTAACAAACCAAATTAAGCCATATTATACACATGGATGGATTCATTTATAGCAGTGTATTTTACTACTTTTTTTATTTTATTTTTTGTTTATTTAGTCTGAATTAGAGCCTGGACTAGAAAAGAAAAAGAAAAACAATTCATATTCATGCTTGACTTGATAGTTCATCATCATGTTCATCAACCACCATTTGTTTGCTTTGATTAAGACTACTTTAAACTCCGTTTGAAAACGCGTATAAAAAAAAGAAAACAATCCCTTTTTCTTTTTCTCTTTTTTTCTTCTTCTTTCCTCTTTTTCTTTTTTATGTAATGCAAAAAGGATGCCATGGCAGCATCTTTTATTTGCAAATATAAAGAGACATTCTACGCTCATTTTGGAACGCATGGTTAGATAGGCCCAAGTAGAGAGGTGCTATTAGAAGCAACACCTTACGCATCGTTTGTATCGCAAGCCATTCACTACTTTCTCTGTCTCTGTCTGCTCTTGGCTTCTTTTCTTTTTTTTTTTTTTCGGTAGTTCTCTGATTTGGATCACTGTCTGCTTTTTCTCGGTTTCTGTTTTGGCTAAACACAAGTCATGCATCGTTACTTTATTTTCGGTTTTTTTTTTTATATATATACATATATAGAACGAAATGGTGTTCTCTTCCTAGATTCAGGCGTCAATATAAGGTCCTTCTTGGGTGGACTTCTTATGGGATCAAGAAAAAGCATATGATGGATCTCTTTCATAAGTCATTGTATTTTAATCATTGGGCAATGTACATTAAAATACATCATTCCAGTTTAGTAAAGTCGAATAAGAATAATAATAAAAAAGTTTCCTTTTCATGTTTGTTTATCCGCATGAACAATGTGACGCTGTTTTCTTATTGTTTGAATACGTACATTTTTATATCTTTTTTTTTTTTTAATTTATTCACTATGCATGGTTTAAAGATCTCGGTTGGTAAAGAACAAGATGGCATCCTCATCTAGTATCTAAACTTGAACTTGATTAGCAAAAAGCATGCAACGATTGCAACAAACGGAAAGAATATTAAGTGCTATAGCAAGAAAAGACTTGACTGAACTAAAAAGACTAGCAAGATTACCTTATGGATTTGTGAATGATACATTAAGAAAACTTGTGTGGTAGGATATTTTTTTTTTTTTTTTTTTTTGGTTAGTTTTTGAATTGAAGTCAATGGACATACTAAAGTGTATTAGGCCTATTTTATTACATACACAACATGGCAATTATATAGCAGAAAAAGGCAGTGGTATGCATCATAAGTTACTATATCTTGACTTATCAACCTATAGAAAAAGACTTGGCTGATCCAGTGCAGATAACAAAAGATGTTGAACGATCCTTGTACTACTATCCTCAAGGTAACAACTGGATGATACCATAACATACTGATTATTTTGTTTAGATGTCACACCTGTATTTAAAGCACATAAACAACAAGAATTGCATTGTATGATTGTTGAAATTCTATGGCGAAATCCTAGTTTAAAATACTATCAAGTAATATACAATCATTACCTTACAATTGATCCACACTGACAAGTATCATGGTTTAGGGATTTCATGATATCTGTACTTGTTTCTTACTTGTTTTGGGTAAAAAAGCAGCCATTCCAGCAGCTGAAAATGTAGCCTTGTTTTTTATTCGAGATGCCATGTTGGATTCATTTGAACCTGTCTCTAAACAACTTCGACTGATGAGTTCCTTGATTGAATATGAAGATCCTTCATTGACACTGTATATGGAAAAAGCAAATGTGATGCCTTACTATGCACTCAGTTGGATTTTGACTTGGTTTAGTCATGATTTTGAAGATTATGACAAAGTGATACGACTGTTTGATCTGTTTATCTCAAGTCAAGCATTTATGCCAGTGTTTATTGCGAGTGCAGTAAGTCCATAAGAAGCTTATCTAATAATAATAATAGTAATAATGATGATGATCTGATAAGGAATCTTAGATTATCTTATTAAGGCGTCATGAGATCTTGATGGCTGAAAAAGATAGTGTGCATTCACTTGTCACTCGTATTCCTCAAGATATAGATATAGAACACATCATAGAAAAAGCAGTCCAATTGGAAAGTAAGCATACAGTCCTTCAGTTACAGAAACAGAGTGGCATTTGGCTTCATGAAGAGTAAGTAGGTTTGTGGTGATATTGTTCTTATATGAATTTAGATCTGCTATCAATACATGGGAAACAGACTGGGGTCATTTAACATGGCATCAAGTACCAGATCAATTACAGGCCAATAGACATTTAGCCCATGGGTCACATAAAGAAGAATGGGAGGATGAAATGCTTACTCAATGGACCATGCATCGAAGACAATCTATTGTTGAAGATGAATTTGATTTTTAAAACTCATCCATAATAAAATTGCATGACGCATTTCTTTCTTTTTTTTTATTATTATTATTATTTTTCTTTAGTATGAATATCCTTCAAAAGGCCACTCGAGTGTTTAGTACAACAAAGCATCATAGAGTAAGGTACATAAAGGCATGTATTCCAGACTGACACTTTGACTAGACTTTTCTTACACGTATACCCACCAGTACTTGGACAGAATCACCCCATGCTCAGTCTTTGATCCCAATGGTGGTTGAACAAACAGTAAGTTACTAATCTACAACAGCCCATGACTGATGTCATGTTAGGGCAGAGGTGAAAGATCGTATGACATCTTTTCAAGATTACTAAAAGAACGCATCATTTGTTTAAATGGACCTGTAAGGAATGCCCCTTTCATTATTGACACATACTTATGGATGACTAGATAAACGATAATGTAGCCTCTGTTATTGTAGCTCAACTTCTGTTTCTAGAAGCTGAAAGTACAGAGAAACCAATCAGTCTCTATATCAATTCACCTGGTGGGAGTGTTACTGCTGGCATGGCTATTTATGATACGGTAGGTTCTCAAGTATATAGCTATCGATTCACGTTGACATGACATAGATGCAGTATATTCAGTCCCCTGTGTCTACGCTATGTAATGGACAAGCCTGTTCCATGGGTTCATTATTATTGGCAGCAGGTAATTCATAGACAAGTAGAAGGTATATGCTGATTCAAAGGATATAGGTGAGCCTGGTAAACGCTATGCTTTACCTAATGCTTCTATCATGATTCATCAACCTTCAGGTGGTGCTGCAGGTCAAGCATCTGATATTGCTATCCATGCTCGTGAAATTCTTCGTGTTCGAGAAAGATTGAATCGCATTTATCAAAAACATACAGGCACACGTGACTTGGAAACAGTGGGTAAGTTCATGAACGTACCTTGTCTGCTTTAACCCATAGCGCATAGAAAAAATGATGGAAAGAGACTATTTCATGACATCAGAAGAAGCCATGAACTTTGGTTTAATTGATAGAGTTCTTGAGAAACGCATTGAAGTCAAAGAGGATAAAAAAATAAAATAAAATATGTTTGACATTTGATTGGTTACTGAGTGTCAATTGTCTGAGGATGAAGATGGTGCCAGAAACAAAGTGCACTCAAGAAACAGGAAGTCGTGAATCCTTCTCTTTTCTTACTGACAACATGGATACTCTTACTCTCCGCGGAACACTCGAAGGTGTGTAATAGATAAACAGTTGTATGCGTGTCTATTGAGATTTGAATGCATGGATGGATGGATGGATGGATGGATAGATCAATAGAATTTTATCAGCTTGGATATAAATGACAATTCAGATTCTCAATCGACGGGCATACAACTTTTTGGGTTGTCGAGTAATAGTAACTTACACTTCTTTTTTTTTCTGTGCGCCCATAGGTCACGGTAACTGGGGTAAGTGTCTTGAATGAATGAGAAAGAGTAGAAAAATAGTAACATGAGAGTCTATAGTCACTGCCATTGCCACTACCTCTGAAGCCCCCGATATGGTCTTGTCTGCCTCTCGTGACAGAAGCATCATTGTCTGGAACCTTACCAGGTAAATTCAAAAAAAAAGATAGACATGTGTATGTGTGTACTAAACCCCCTATGAACAGAGATGAATTGAACTACGGTGTCCCCCGTAAGTCTCTTGTTGGTCACTCTCACTTCATCGAAGATCTTGCTATCTCTTCTGACGGTCAATTTGCCTTGTCCGCCTCTTGGGATCAAACTCTTCGTCTCTGGGACTTAAACAGCGGTACCACCACCCGTCGTTTCGTTGGCCACACCAACGATGTCTTGTCTGTCTCTTTCTCTGCTGACAACCGTCAAATCGTCTCTGGTTCTCGTGACAAGTCCATCAAGTTGTGGAACACTCTCGGTGAATGCAAGTACAACATCACCGAAGATGGTCACTCTGAATGGGTCTCTTGTGTCCGTTTCTCTCCTAACCCTGCTAACCCTGTCATCGTTTCTGGTGGTTGGGACAAGCTCGTCAAGGTCTGGGATTTGGCCAAGCTCAAGCTCCGTACCAACTTCATTGGTCACAACGGTTATGTCAACACTGTCACCATCTCTCCCGATGGTTCTCTCTGTGCCTCTGCTGGTAAGGATGGTGTTGTCATGCTCTGGGATTTGAACGATGCCAAGCACTTGTACTCTCTTGAAGCTGGCTCCAACGTTCACGCCTTGACCTTCTCTCCTAACCGTTACTGGCTCTGTGCTGCCACTGCCAACGGTATCAAGATCTGGGACCTCGAATCCAAGTCCATTGTTGATGAACTCCGTCCTGAATTCCCTCAATTGGGTAAGAGAAAGAACCCTGATCCCGAATGTTTGTCTGTCTGCTGGTCTGCCGATGGTGCCACTCTCTTCTCTGGTTACACTGATAACATCATTCGTGTCTGGCAAGTCACCCGTACTCTTTAAATATATAAAAAAGAAGAGTGTTTTTAAATAAAGGAATTTTTTTTTTATTATTATGATGATCATTATTATACACGGCAACTGGTAAAAGCAGTAACCATAATATCAGTAGCACCACATTCAGTTAATTTGTCTAAAATTTCTCCTTTTTCCTTCTTGTTGACCATAGCAGAAACAGCAACCCAACCTTCTCGAGAGACTAAGGAAGAGACAGTAGGACCCAATCGACCAGGAGTGACCTTGGTGGTCAAAGGCAAGTTTTTACGTTCTACATTGTAAGTACACAAGACATATTTGTTGGCTGTAATGACACCACGGATACGAGAAGCAATCTTTTCAATCAAATCTTGGTGGTGTGTTTTCTTGTTGGCAATCAAGACAGATTGAGTTTCCATCAAGGTATAGATATCATGAAGACCAGCAGCACGCATGGATTCACCTGTTTCCACAAGGTCCACTATTGTCATACACAATAAATCAAATGTGCTCAAATGTTGCCTATATCACTTACCAATGCCGTCAGCTAAACCAAGAGCACAAGCGGCTTCAACAGAACCAGAGACATGCTCAATGGTTGTCTTTTTACCAGCCTTTTGATCAAGAGGCTCAAACAATTTAGCAGCACAATTGACAAAACTAGTGACAATACGCTTTCCGACCAAAGATTCAATGGTTTGGTATTCACCCTTCATAGGCACTTCAATACAAAGACGACATTTACCAAATTCCAATTCCAACACTTGTTGGATTTTGTCTTCCACATGGCTTTCAACCACAATGTCTTGACCTGTAATACCCAAATCCACATTACCTTCACCTACATATTTAGCAATATCGGCAGCAGGCAAGAAAATAAGGGCAATAGGCAAATTGGTACAGAGAGCAATGTCTTGTCTTGAGCTTCGATTAAAGTAGATATCACAGCCCTTTAAGAGTTCAATGCAACTTTCATAGATACGACCCTTTTTAGGGATAGCAAACAATAAGCGGTTGCCCAAGTCTTTGGTGAATTCCATAATATGAAAGAAATGAAAAAAAGTTTTAGATGAATTTGACATTTTTAAAAGGAGTCACAAGCTTGGTTAATGAGCCAATCAACTTGATCCCACCCCCCTTTTTTCTTTATTTATTTATTTCCGAAATACACCTTGTGTATATATTATTTGTTTTGTTTTTTGGTCATGAGTATTGACCAAACCATGGATTATTTATTTCATGAATCCGAGAAAACAAAACCTTGTTTTCATTGTCATAAAGTAAAATTTCAAGGTTTAGTTTATTCTGACTCATTTCTCCCTTTTTTTTTTTCTATCAGGCACAATTAACCTATGATCAAGGCAAGTCTATATATATATATATATATATATATATGTGTGTGTGTGTGTGTGTGTATATATATGTATTGAGTGGATAATTTAGCTAAGTAAAAAAAAAAACCAATGAATCTAACTGTAAAATAAGCAGACATGAACAACAGTTGATAATGACTCATTTCATGGAAAAGTGTCTACAGCGAACACTGTTGGAGTACGAGAAATTGATTCGATTTTCAGGTACACCAACAGTCGTCTGGAGAAGGACAGGGGAAATTTGTTTAGTGGGGAAAGAGTTCTTGTTATTGACACGATGGACAAGACATGCTTTATTAGACAAGACATGCTTTATTAGACAAGACAATGTATATTTATCAAGTAAGTCAACCCCTCCTCCTCCTCCTTCTCCTTCTCCTTTTTTTTTATGACTGAGTTAATGGATGGCTCATTGGCTGTGGAATATTGGGAGAAGTTTGCACTCCATGCATTTGATAATACAGACAAGCCATGTATGTATTCCTGTATTATCAACACACCAGAACAAAAACCTGTTTGTTGTACATTCTGCTTTATGATCAAACGAGATATTTTCAATTTGCCGAGTGTGATTGTTGGCAATGTAAGTAGTCTAGGTTGAATACCTTCTGATTATTTTAGCTTCTTCCTATTCTTTGCTAAACTATATATGTGTATTTATTACTATTACATGAACATATAATATATATATATATATATCATTAATCCTCTTCATCATCATCTGTGTCTGTTTCATCACCGTCTGTTTCATCGCCACTACTATGGCTACTACTGCTATGATGTTTAGAAGAAGCCTTTTTAACAGCATGATGCTTTTTTTCAACCTTCTTATCATTATCATCACCATCATCGTCACCAACTTCAGACCATTCAACATCAAGCACACCCTTAGCACGATCATGGTACAATTGATCCCATACAGCAGGTGTAAGATCCAAACAACCTGTCATGAATTAGTCTAAGAAGACAGGCTTTATCAGATTCTGCTTACCATGATCACAGGTAGGACAAGCATCCGTGACAGTAGCCACTGTACATTTATCGCCATAACAAATACGAAGTTTCTTGCCACACCAATGACTCTTTTTGTTCATTGGTCCATATTGAGCATGGTTCTATATCAGCGAATCAGTATCAATAAAAATGGATCAGATAATCTACCATAGCAACAATCTGTGAATTGGCGTCAGCATAAGGACCACAGGCACCTTGAGATCCACCTTCTGATTTGGGCCAAAACATAGTAGCCACACCTTTAAAAAGAGCCTTTTTGACTGTCTTGAGTAACTTGCCTGCTAAACCTCTTCTTTCAATGGGTTGTGCAGACACAAATACCAATGATAATAACACGATAAGATAAATAAATTGGAATTTCATTTTTTTTTTTTATTCAAGAAAGAAAAAAGAAAGAAGCGAGTTTGATACGGCTTTATATACTGAGAAGTCAGAGAAGCATAGAGAGTGAGAGAAAAAAAAAGGGGGGAATTTATAACTCATGAGGATTATTGGAACAATAGATCAAGAAACAGAGTATGCTTCGAATGGGATGAACCGCCTGCAGCAAAGAGAAAATAATACATGACTAACCTGGGTGTTTGTAAACAGCTGTATACATGTTTGTGTGTGTTTATTTGATCTTTGTAGAAAAAGAGAAAAGAAAAGAAAAGGGGAGAAAGGGAGGGGGGAGGTCAGGAAGGACGCTTACTCCTTGCTTTTTTTAGATGCTATTTGATTGTCATTTTAAACTTGGCACCTAATGATAAAGAATACCTTTTTCTTTATGATAAAGATGTTGCACGGTGAACAAGCAAACCATTGCCTCCTCTTTTTTTTTTATTATTATTTCATTGACTTATAGACTCAAGTGCCACTTGCTTTACTCCCCACTTTCATTCTCCCTCAAATTCATATCTCTTTGAATATTAAATCTTGTAAAATAACTCGCGTGAGACCATGTTCCAAGTCGATCTTTTTTAAAAAAAAAAAAAAAAAGTCATTTTAGTTGTTTATGCAGTGTCGGATAACATTGACCCTTGATATGTAACAAGGTTCCAATTAAGCAACATGTATTTTCCTTGTTCTTGGTTGAATTGAAAAAGAATCCAAAGTACAAAATAGATTTGACAAATAACTTTGCCCTCCACCCCCTCTTCCTCCTTCTAATTTAATTGTCTTAGTCAATATAAAAGTTGATCATTCCCCGCCTCCCTTTTGTATCTATTTTACAAGAAATGTAATTCTGTTCATTTAAACGAGAAATGATTGCTATTAAATGAAATAAGAAAAAATAAGACATGTAGGTGGTTTATGCATACATGTGCATTAAAGAAGTGTAACTTAATTGCTAAAGTGCATCATTTCTTTATTCAGTGATCGTTTCAAGTCACAAAATGTAGGCTGTATTCTGTCTTTTTTTTTTTAATATAAAGTATGTAACTTTATCTATATTTGACTTTAGCTCAAAAGATGATCATGTTTATTAATAACGAATATAACCGTCTTTGGTATCGATCTGTCATACTGTCAATCAAACATTTGGCAAGCGCACTATTTATTCTTCCTTGAGGAGACCTTTCAGGTTTTATTTGTTGGCTGATTTGGACTTCTTGGCTTTCATGTTGCGCTCAAGAGTACCTCAGGCGTGTTCCATAGGATATTTTTCACTAGGACTCTTTCAGTGGCATCCTTGACTGTCCCAATGGTCTTGACAGAAAAGAAAGAGCCAGATTCCTTGATGTAATTAAGACAATGATCAACGCTGTCTCTACTTGTGTCTACTAGATTTGCCATGCACTTAAATAGACTTGAAGAGAATAAACACCACCATACGCCAAAATTATTTTTTTTTTAAGTCACGTGTGTGTATTTTTTTTTCTTCTCTTTATCTTGATTCAATGACTCAAAATACAGATTGGTCTACATTCCATGCGTTTAAAGAGTGAGTCTCTTAGAAAAAGAATAAATGAAAACTGATACATGAAACAGTCCTGCTAGAGTAGACAATAAGTCTAATTTTCTACTTTCTTCTCCCTCATCTGTTCCTTCCATGTTTGATCCATTCGATATACAACAACAGAAAGAAGAACAAGAGGACGATATGCATGATCTCAGTCAACGCTTTATTTCTAGTCACTTATTGGATGATGATGAAGATGAAGACAGGATGGTCAATACACCCATTGAACCATCTGTCTGGAACAAGACATGGAAACCTACTAGTGAAATGAAAGATATTTGGAACACGTCCCATGAGTCTAGTTTTGAACCTGATGTGGATGAATTTGACCCTACACTTCAATTCTATCATGGTTCATTGTACGATGCGCATACGATTCAAGACATGAATCGACTTTTGCTTCAAGTGACCAATCCCTCAGCAGAAGAAGCACAAGCAGAGAATGTGGATGAGGACATGTCGACACTTCAAATGATGCAAACCATCTTTTCTGATCTAAAAGATGAGGAACTGATTGCGACTTTGGAACAACATGATTATGATGTGGATAGAGCTATTGAAGCCTTATTGACCCAGAAATTGACGATTGAAAAACCTCCTGTTGTACCAGAGACACCTAAAAAACGACAAGTGTGTCGACATTTCTTGGCAGGGGAATGTTATCGAAAAGATTGTTGGTTTGCGCATGATTTACAAGAAAAAGTGTGCAAGTTTTGGTATGTCAGTCCATAAAGTCCATAGGTTGACACTATTGTATAGGTTACAAGGGAGTTGCTTAAAAGGAGACTCTTGTGAGTTTTCACATGGGATTGATATTCAAGAAGTAGCCAACAAGATCACCATACCCGAAACAAAGCCCAAAGTGGCAAAACCTATTGTTTATCATCAAGGTGATTATCCTGCTTTATCAGCCAGTAAGACCCCCAAGTATCAATCACAACCACAACCACAACAACAGGATGATGATGAGTTTCCTTCATTAGCAGCAGCATCCACCAAGAAATCAACGAAGCAACCTACGATGATTAATTTTGCTCAAGTAGCTAAAAAGAAAAAGACATCACCTATCAAACAAAAGAAGCAACAGACATTCAGTCGATATCATACCAAATCTTATAAATACAGTATGCAGGAATTAACTCGACCTGTTCATATACCATGGTTAGAAACAGGTAGTTCATTGAATTCCATCTATATGAAAGAGGTAAATAGTACTTGATGGTATTGTATGACTTATTGCTAGTATAGAGAGAGAAAGCCATTGAATATGGTATGCTTCGAAATCGATTCTTTAGTAAAGCAACAGAATACTACCTTAAAGGAGATGGTGCAAAGGCAAAACTGTATTCAATGGAAGCCAAACACTATAATCGCCTCATGCAAGAAATGCATACAGAAGCAAGTCAGCGTATATTTGAACAACGATCCAATCATGAAGCATTTATTGATTTACATGGTTTACATGAAGACGAAGCACTGAGTATTGTGGAAGAACGATTACACCATTTAAAATCATGTTATTCTGGGATTATCTATATCGTGACTGGTACTGGACATCATTCGGGTAGGAATGGTCTGAGTAAGAAACAGAGTAAATTGAAGCCTAGTATTCAACAGTACTTGAAACAACATCATTATCGATTTGCAGAGACAAGTATTGTGGGTGATAATCAAGGTGGTGTATTTGCTGTAGAAATTTAATAATAATAACAATAATAACAATAAATTGAATGGTCCGTCACACATAAACGCACACGCCACTTTCCTTTTTTGATGTTACTTGTTGAAAGACTTTAAAGACTTGAAGATTCATGTTTAAAAGAAGTAGAAGAAAGAGGAATTGAGATTATAAACTCAGTTTTTTTTTTTTTTTTTTTTTTTTTTTACTTTATTGTGCATGAGAAAATAAACTTTTTTTTTTTTTTTTTTTATGTTGTACCTGATAAATAAAACCTTAAACATAATGTTGGATTCAACTGTATATATATATATATATATATATATAGTTTATTTCTTTTTTCTTTTTCCTAATTGGTCTACAACAAAAAAAAAAGAAAAAGAAAAAATAGGGCCGATTGTATCTTTTTTTTTTTTTTTTCTTTTACCTCTCACATATTCAAATTAGTTACCATTTATGGAAATCATCTCATATCTGAAACAAATACAGGCACACGCATACGCTTTCAACGTCATTGGTGTGACTGTAGTTTTCTGCAAATTTTTTATACATGTGGGTCCCAACTGTACCCGCATTTGCTTTTGTGAAACAGCTTTCGTTTTATTCCTTGACGTCATACAATTAAACTCCGATAATACTCTGTTCCTTAAATTGATTCCTTTTTTTTTTTCTTTTGTTATTTCTTTCTTTCTCTTTTGTTATTGAATTCAATATGGCCCAATCTAACAATGTCTTTTCCTTTGCAGAACCCAGTACATTATTGGAAAGAAGACAACAAACAGCACCCTTTTTACAACAATTAGAACTCCCTTCTTTACCTCCACTATCTCATTTACTAGAAGAAAAAGATGTACAAAAAGAAGAAGTAACCAAGGCTACAGCAGCAGCTATTGCAGCAGCCACAGCTGTCACAGCCAGTATGATTACTAGTACAGCACAGCCCTTGATTCAACAAGAAACACATCCTACTGCATTCTTACCTACCACTATCACAGCTGCACCCAGTAGTCTACTCTATCACGAAGAGAATCATGCGAATCCTATTGCATTTCCTACATCCACATCACCACCCTCTCTTACTACCTCAAATCATCCTTTGGACCCAACATTGATGGTCAATAACAATGGATTTATAGACCAACAACACATGTTGAATGCAGCCGTGGTTGCCGCCGCGGGACTGACCGATCCACAACAGTTGATGTCCAATCATTCGAGTATGGGTATGCCTCCTTCTTTAATGGATAGAAGACAAAGACAATCTTCAGTATCGTCCATATCATCTGATAAAGTATATTCATTTGTAGCTATCCCTGGTACAAATCAAAGAAAACGACCACGTAGAAGATACGATGAGATTGAACGTCTCTATCATTGTAACTGGCCTGGCTGTACAAAGGCCTATGGTACACTAAACCATTTAAATGCTCATGTTAGCATGCAACAACACGTAAGTTATTTTGTTTTACTTTATTTTTATTTAACACTTTTATCCTCTAGGGCCCAAAGCGTCATCCTGCTGAATTTAAAGAAATGCGTAAAGAATGGCGACGTCTAAAAAAAGAAAGAGAAGCAGCCAAGAAACAAGCTGAAGTTGCTTATCAAGAACAACAACAACAGCAACAGCAACAGCAACAACAACAACAACAACAACAAATGCTACAACAACAAATGCAACCATTTCCATTTACTACCACTCCATCATTTATGCCATCTAACAATATGCCTCTTTGGTAACATATTTACACTACTACCACTACCACCACCACCACCACCACTACTACTACTACTATAGCAATAACAACGACAACAAAAGCATACCACTGATACACACCCACATATAAAAAAAAAAACTGGATTTTTTCTGTACATTGAAAAAAAAAAAGGAGTCAATCTTTTTTTTTTTTCTACTCTCTTTATGACACTCCTACTTTTTTTTTTTCTTCTATATACTCCTTTTATTTGTATATTTTATATATATATATACATATATATATTTATTTTTTTTACATGACATTCAAATCAGTTCAATTGTATACACACATACAAAAAAAAAATTTTTTTTCTCTTTTCTGTTGATCCTTTTTGAATCATCAATGTGATACAAAGCGCATCATGACGTTTCTGATTCTTAAAGAAAATAAGCTGAGATTTAACTTTATTCGGATGATGAAATTAAAAAGGTGCGTAATTCGGGTGAGCATAGATCCAATGGGGATTGACCATCCTGATTCAGTTGATCCAAATTACCATTGTTTTCTATCAATAATAAGGCACAATCACCATGTCCTTCTTCACAAGCAAGATGAAGAGGTGTATTGCCTTCTTGATCTTTAGGATTGATTCTACTCTTAGCTTCAATCAATGCTTTCATGATCTGAATATAACCACCACTGGCTGCACGGTGTCTAATAGGTGTTAAACGAAAATATATATATATACACTTGAAGTTGCTTACAAGGGTGTTTGTTTATATTTGTTGAGTTGATTTATAGGTGCATTGTATTGAATTAATAATCTACAGATCTATGATTTTTATCAGTTTTGATCTTTGTTAAAAATGGGGTTTTACTTCAAGACGGTTTTTACTTGCAGCATAATGCCTTAAAAAGAGATCAATGACATAGTCAAGATGAAATTAACTTACAATACAGATTGACTTGTTTCGTTTTCTAAGGATGGATCAGCTCCTTTTTCCAATAATAACTTGACAACATCTGTATGTCCAGCAGAGACTTTGATAATGGATAAGTATATAGAAACTATCTTTGATACATTACCAGCAATCAAAAGAGGTGTCCAGCCAGCCTAAATAAAAATAAAAGAGGGTATGAGTAAATATGACATATAGAAATACCCTTACTTCTTTATCTTGACTATTGATCAGTGCACCCATTTTAAGTAAGTAATCTACGATATCTGCATGACCTCCTGAAGCAGCCCAATGAAGAGGATTACGTCCATCCTATCTTATTATTGGATTACGGTTGTTTAAATATCATTTGAATTACATCATCAAAGGCATTCAACAGGCCTTTGTCTTTGTCCAACATTTGTTGAACAATAAACAGTTTGCCTTCATAAGCAGCTTGAAAGATAGTTAACATGATAAAAATAAAAAATAAGAAAAAAAGAAAAAGAGAAAAGAAAAAGAAAAAGATACACGTCACTCTATTTTTTAAATGAGTTTCAATTTTATGTACAATATAAAGAATGGGTATATAGTTGCATATTAGGAAGTAGGTACAGGTTGATGACGGCAAAGTGGACATTTATTCTGTCCTTCTGTCAACCATTTGTCAATACACTCCTTGTGAAACCCATGATGACAATCAAGGACACGGACATCTTCTTCAGATTGATAGTTATTTAGACAGACTTGACAACCTTCTGCATTACCCAACATGGTCTGCTTTACTTGTTGCGTATATTTCAGCAATGGAACATGGCTATCAATGGCTTCTTGACTGACTGTAGGACGACGTGCAGGACCAATAAATGTAGCCAAATCAAGTAATTCTTCATAGCTTGGACTATCATTCATCATGTTCTCTACACTATTACCACTAATGATGTACACAGTCCATTGACCTGTACCTAATCCTCTTGCTTGTTGTTGTTGTTGTTCTCGCTCGACACGTTCTCTAATTCTGGCACTTTGTCTTCTAGGTGGCGTTTCGTGGGTTGATTCAGGCTGTGTTGTTTCTTGTTGTTGAGGAGGATGAGGAGGAGGATGGGATGTATTGGTTCTTAAACCATATAGAAAGACAGGCAACATCATCACACGGGTCACTTCAGTTTCTTCCTCCACTGTACTAGGCGATTGTCCATCTGCATTGACAGCAGTTGTATCTGCAGGATGGTTACGAGATACACTGGTCACAATCACAGGTAATCGCATAAACCGCATAAACGAATCTTCTGTACTTTCGGGTTCCATTTGTTGAAATATCTCAGGTGATAAATGCATAGTTAATTGTTGTTGTTGTTGTTGTTGTTGTTGTTGTTGTTGTGGCTGCTGCTGTTGTTGTTGTGGCTGCTGCTGTTGTTGTTGTGGCTGCTGCTGCTGTTGTTGTGGCTGCTGCTGTTGTTGTTGTTCCTGTTGCGATGAGATGGGCATCTGTTCGTTACGAAAAGAAGCAACAACAGCTTCACTAATGACTTGAGCAATCATGCGAGAAAATGGACTGATGGTCTCATTAGGACTGGGTGAACTGGGACGAGGTAGTGAAAAAGACTCACTTCTTGAAGGAAGTTGGCTAAGTGAAGGTCGAAGGTTGTCAGAGGATCGTTCTCTTCGAAGTCGATAAGGTGTTGCAAGCGTAGTAGACCTTCTTGGTCTAGGACGAAGGACTCGATCTCCTCTTATGTTTTCATTCAGAGAAGAAGAGGAATTAGACGAAGAAGGAGGGTCTTCATTATTGTTGTTGTTATTGCTGTTGTTTGTGTTTGTATTGTTGGTATCTGACTGTTGAGATTGTCGTTGGCCCATAATAAAGTGTGAAAGAAAGAAATAGAAAAAAAAGGATGCCCCCTCACTAATTTTTTTTGTTCGGAAAATTAAACATCCGCGTCTATCGGACACATGTTTTCATTTAGAAAGAATGATCTTGATAGAAAAAAAAAATAGGCTTCAAGTAGGTGAAAGAAGAATCTAGATGTCCTTCATCATTTGACTCAATACTTAAAGTTTGGCGGTGTCTATTGATGTAGACGGATTGACTTGTAATTTCGAGAAATTTCTCGAATAGACCCAAGACGAAAATATGACGCAACAATTCTTTTGGCATCATGTAGCTTCATAAAACTGCGCCTAATGGGCATTCCTAAAAAGGAAGTGTAATTAAATGTCTTTCACAATACTTGATAATATAAGTGATTTATTTACTACAAAAATATAATATACATACATAATAACAAGAAATGATCATTCAGGTAATAAAGCAATGCGATCATTCAGCCAAAGACAATCATCTGCCCATCGATTCTTTTCTTTGGCTAATTGTTTTTTATGGTTATCCCTGTGATAAATGGCTTGTTCAAGCTTCATTCGACACTGCTTCTCCTCTTCGAGTTGAGACTTGAGTTTCATGATCATGGCTAATAATACTTTAGCATCTTCTGTTTCTTCTTGAAGAAGAGGTCCTGATGCTAAGGCTGGAGGACAGGAAGGTCTTCTTGCTCGCATGGTCGAAATGGTTTGTCGACAATGAGGACATGCTTGTGACTCATTGGATCCATTCCTATCGTCTGTCTGCACCTGAACATGCCTAAGACGCACAGACCTTCGCTTGAGTGCAGCTTCAGGTACAGATCGAATCGCACTCACAATAGCTGCTGAAGCCACAGCAGGAGGCAAAGGTGCTGGACGTCGAGGCGAATGGGTTGTCTTGGGCGGCTGAGGAAACTGAATGTCATTTAAGACACTGGTAAATAAAGGTACGGGTGGAGGACTATGGGCCACTGTGGCCTGTGCATGAATGTCCTTTTCGGATGCTGTCTCACTATAGACACCTGAATCACGCAAGGATTGTCTTGGGTTGGGCTTTCTTGGGGTGTTTGTCGTCTTGTTAGTAGTCTGCTGATCAATCGTGATGGGGATATGAGGTCTCTTTTGAACGAGTGTAGGTGAAGGTGTCAACGGCTTAAGTACAGTAGGCTTTTTACGCAGTTTGTTTAATAAGCGTGTAGCTCGAGTCAATTGTTGTTTGTTGTCATGCAAATAATGATCTTTGACATACTCTTCAGGTCCTGTGCTGGACAAAAAGTCGGCTAATATCATGGTTTCGTTGCGTAAATCTTGAGAAATGCCACTACTATAATGACTACTGTTACTATCATCTAGGTAAGATTCATCTTCTATTTCTTCTTGTACTGAGTCTGAAAGTTGTTCTTCATAGGCCATTGCATGCTTTAAGGGCCTTAAAACTGCCCTTTGTTGTGAATACACTTTACTGGTCGTTTTAAACATAACAAAAGAAAAAGAGATAAAAGAAAAGAAAAAAAGGAATGTATATTTTGGCAATATAAAAAAAAAAGAGAAATGAAAAGGAGGTTCCAATAAATTATGGTTACGCGCGTATAAATAATGCGCAAGGAGAAACTTCTAAACGATTTTAAATGAATTCATGCTTTCTCCCTTACACAATGTTTTATTTTTCCTGCAGAATCTCCCCTCCTCCTTTTAAGAAAATAGATATAAAATACAACCTCCTATACTTCTTCATCATCGTCTTCTTCTCCCTCTTTTGAATTTTGAGTTAACCTCAACATGTCTTCTTGTTGTTGTCTCTTCTTTTCTCTTTCTTCTACTTGTCTGGGAATCGAAAGTACAGAGTCCGAAATAGATCGCTTATCATTTGGTTTTCTAGTACGCTGATTGACCGACCGATCCTTCTTTTTGTTCAGACCTAGCAACACAATAGCCCTTGATTGATCATTGACCATTTCTTTGGCACGGAGAGCCAATTGTTCTCGTTCATGACTCTCCTTGGGAGGATCACGTTTGTATGGATGCGCGGGTGTATTTTGCTTGTCTTTCCATTTTCGCCATCCCTCAAAATCAATCAGGGCCTGCATGCATCCCCATTCCATGATTTTTTTCTCGAGCCATTCAAGACTCACAGGCTTTGTCAAGAAATCATTACAGCCTGCAGCTAAGGCGGACTGCCGGTCACTTTCCAAAGAAGAAGCCGTGAGTGCGACAATAATCACAGGCGATTGAAACACACGCTGCTCGATCAAGGACGAAGTAGACGAGGTGGACGAGGAAGAAAGAGTGATAGGTGCTGCTGGTCGTATAGGTTCCTCTGGTGGTTCCTCTTCGATCGTGCCGGGCAAAACACCAATCTTTCGTTCTTTTTCAATACTTCGAATCATTTTGGTTGCTTCAATACCGTCCATAACAGGCAATTGAATATCCATCTACAAATACATCATGAGTGACACATACACACTTTTTTTTTTAAAAAAAACATACGAGAATTAAATGAAATCCACCTCCTTTCCATTTCTCTACGGCTTCTTTACCATCAGAAGCCACAGAGAATTTAATACTATGCTTCTTCATCCATGTAGATAAAATAGCTTGATTGATCATGTTGTCTATTAATAAGATATGAGTACATGTGGATGTATGTCAATGATGACTTACCTTCTACAATCAATACACTGATAGGAGGACTTTGTTTTTCTGATTGTGTGTTCTTTTCTTTACGCTTACGGTTACTGATCTTAAAGTTAAATTTTGATTTGGATTTAGGCTTAGGGTTCTCTGGTTGAGGCAAGTCAGCTGTTGCCTTGGGAGACAAGACATGATCTACAGAACCCAAAAGAGGCGATCCGTGAAAATTAGGGTTTGGTGCAACTATAGGGGGTGGTAAGCCTTCATAAGGTTCTATCATATCTGCATGTTTCTTATTGGGTGACATGATGTGTTCTTCAAGTTTAGGCGAGGCTTGTTGACTGCCTGAAGGAGATAAAGAGAGGTCGATCAAGGTACGTCTGCCTCCAGAAGGAACAAACGTGTTGCTGTGAGACCGAAGTCGACGGGGAGGCTTTCCGTTGGTCGTGGGCGAGTGTGCTGAGACAGGTGTGGCCGGGTTGGCAGTAGAGGGTGTGATGGCAGGCACGACCGCATTCATCAAAGTATTGTTCTTGACAGCCGATAAATGAGGCGAGGTATTGAGTTTAGGAGGCAAGACGTGGTTCTGTGTGACAGCATTCGAACGAATGGCTAACGGATCGAAAAAATAATTGCCCTTTTCAGACTCGACTTGAAGACCGCTGGGTGAATGGATGCGTGGTCTTCGGCCGCCAGGTGAGAACCGTGTAGGATCGTGTGGTGTCAAAATAGCCGCTGGTGTGATGGCGTCCTGATAAGGTTGAGGCGAGAACAAAAGATGCTGATGAGGCCCTACAAATGGGCTAAGGGGGGACGTAGCAATCGGCATAAAATGTGGTTCAACCACAGCGTTACGCCAAGCCGTATGAAGGGCTGTCAAAAATCGACGTGGACCAGCAGGTTTAGGAACCACGACCACACGGGGTGAATGAGGTGTAGGTGTCGTCGAGAACCAATGGATCACATCACGTACTCGTTTATAGTTACTGAGTGAAGAAAAAAAGACCACGGCAACTGTACCTTGAAGCATGGCATCTGAGCCAAGGTTGTTGCGAGATTTAGAGCGTCGGTGACGACGATGAGGCGTTGCAAGTGATGCTTGTGAGGCTAAGGGTTGTGACGTTGCTGGTGTAGGTTGCTGTTGTTGTTGTTGTTGTTGTTGTTGTTGTTGTTGTTGTTGTTGTTGTTGTTGTTGTTGTTGTTGTTGTTGTTGTTGTTGCTGTTGCTGTTGTTGTTGCTGTTGTTGTTGTTGCTGTATTAAAGGAGAAGAGGCTTTATCTCGGAACTCTTTGAGTTTTCTTTCAAGTGTTAAAAGATCATCGTCAATCAATACAAAAGCAGGTGGAATCGAATGAATATGCTCTTCTGCTGTGGCTGGAGAAGGCACTTTGTTATTATTACTTAAACTTCTACTGGTAGAAGGCGATAGAACAGAATGAATATCTAAGGGTGTCTTTGGCGGTTGTTGTCGTTGCTGCTGTTGAGAGGCTATAGAAGCATCTGAATCAGATCCGACTGTAGTGTTTGTATCACTGATTTGTTCATCCTCTTCTGTATTGTATCCCAAGACAGGCAAATGACTAATATCCGTATTCCAACTCGCTAAGCAACTCGTCAAGTGCTTTGCAAAAATACTCTTTTCAGGTGCATGCAAAATCATACGAACACCCTTGAGTTTAGCAATAAACCCATTTAAATCTTCTAATGTGGGTTCATTTGAAAACCGAATATTCGACAAGTGTTTTTCCAAGATTTGAGAAGGCTTTTCAATAAACAACAAGTGCTGATCACTATGGCTGCTACCTGGAAACAACTCAAACATGACATCGACTCGAGTCTTGTTTTTGCCCAAGTCTTCCAATTCCATCTTACCACCCACAAAATTCAATAGGCGAACAGTGAAATTGGCATTGGGTATAAGTGCTGCAGAAAGGCCTGGGGGAATGGCAGGAGATGCTGTATATGTGATCTGAAAGATAACTTTGAGTTTGGGCGTATTTGGGATAGGTGCAATGGACAATCCGAGTTCTATGCAAGCACCTGGTGTACATCCTTCCAACATGTTTCTTAACAACTAAGAAGACAGAATTAAGGCATGCTGCTATAGTGGATGACTTACATTAATTAAAGCATGCTTGATGCCGTCTGCATCCCCTACAGCATTAGGATAATAAAGGACATTGTCTGTATGGTAAATCACAAAATGGACACCCAATTTACCCGACATGCCAGCCAAAGCATCGCTCACACTCTGAATCAATTCCCCAGCATCAAAATCGAGACGCACAAGTGATCTGACTTGATTCTCTTCAGCGATGACGTGATGCGTATCTGTTTCTCGTATTATTCTCGAAATCAGATTTAAATGCGAACTGATATGGCAAGCTTGTTGGACCATGGTGTTAATGGCTGATATACTTGTGATAGGCACAGCAATTGAACAAGCACTGAGTAATTCGTGTGTGTTGGATAGAATAGAACTAGGCGAGAATTGCTCTAGTGTGGCCATCACAATCAAAGCTGCATCTCGTATTTCTTGAGATACAGTCGTGAGAAACATGGCTCTTCTTTTTGTGTAGATTTCGAGTGCTTGATCAATGGCTTTTTGATCCACTGCTTGTTGTTCTTGTCGTTGTTGGCGGATATAAGTCTGCAGTTGTTGATTGTGTCCAAAGAGACGATGGACAAGAAAGAAAAGCAGTGCGCTTGTCATATGCGTCATTCTACTGTTCTGGATACCAAACACACATGCACTGACAGCAAAAAATAGTGAATAATCATAACATGCATGTTGATCAAACAATGACCAGAGCATCACAAGTGACCATTCCCCCAAAGATGCTGTGGTTAACAATGATATCCCTGATGTGGCTGCCGAGTAGATTGCTTGTGAGAAGCATAGTAAGATTGCTATGGTGAACAAGAAAGCGATTTCTTTTATCAGTAAAGGGGCTTCGATGCTATCGATGGTGACAGAGGGCAGGTTGATATCAACGTATTTGTCTTGAGCAAAAGCATCTTCTTCTAAACTTTGCTGTGATAACCAAACAGACCGTAAATTGGATAGTCTGGGTCTTTCTTGAGATGACTTTTTATTCAGTGCTAGTTTGCTATTGAGATTAGCAGGCAAAGAAAAACTAGGCAGTGTAGGTGTGGCGTTAAGAAACGCGTTTTGGGCTTTATTTTCTTGCTGTTCAGACATGATAATACATTGGATAAAAAGAGAAAAAAGAAGGAAAAAGAACAAGTACAAAAACAGTAATTATTTAAAGTAAGCAGGCATGATCAAGATCGAAACCTGCTGGGAGTTTTTCTAGCTCATGTAAGTCTTGTTTTAAAACGCTTTTTTGGTCCTACATACCAGTCAGTACTTTCATAACACATCTTCATGTTACCTCGGCAAAGTGAAAATGACCTGCAAATGTCTTGTTGTCAAGCAAAAATGGAAACCAGTAACGATCGTCTGTCCACATTTGATCAAATGGGATATCCTGGAAAGAAAACCACTGAGGCTTCATTTCTTCTGTCCTGTTCTTTTGTTAGCACATAATTCTATCTCAGTTGAGCTTACTCTTTAGGTTCACCTAGAAAAGATCGAGTGATAAAAATATGGGTTTCTAAAGCGACAGGGTCATTTTCAAAAGTAAAGGCTAAAAGACCCTTTTGTTCTAAATCAATGGCTTCAATCTCACATTCTTCCTGCATATTTTAACTCAGTAAGAATATATTTATCTTCGTATATACCATTAATTCTCGCTTAGCACCTTGTTCAATCGTTTCTCCTTTTTCTACTTTACCACCAAAGCCTAAGATAGAGAATAAATGATATGGCTTTATTCTATGTAATTTTACCATTGAATTTACCAGCACCAAAACCACGCTTTTTCATGCCCAAAAGTATCTTATAAACTATGAGTCTCAGTCTCGTGTTTTGCTTTTCTTTACCTTCTTTTCTTTCTCGTTAAGGGTAAGAACAAGTGTCAATATTTTCTTGCTAGTAAAGACAGACATGAGCGGAAATAAAAAAAAATAAAAAAAAAAAAAAAAGAAAAGATTGCAGTGAGATATCTGTCATCTTGAACAGATGTTACTACGCGACTATGTTTGACGCGTTTTCTTTTCAACTCATTTATTAAAATGAATTTACAAAGTGATGAATGACAATATGTGCGTAATTATACACTTTGTTGAAGAAAAAATAAGATATTAAATAAGAGAGCAGGGAATAGAAGGGAGATAAAAGAGAAAAATAAATTAGCAACAGACATGAACCATTCTATGTAAAATATTGACACGGATACGAGGAGGTAGTTGAATACCTCCCCTACTATCTTCTCATTGCATGTATACTACTACACAATATGACCAACCAATACTAAGCTGTGATTGATGCTGCCAAGTACTGATTTTTCTTCTGCTTGTATTATCTTGAAATAAACATCTCAACAAATCATTCACAAAAAAAAACTGAGCGTATTGAAGTATTATCTTGGCATATGAAAGGGCTTTTGGATCATGATACTTTTGTTGCTGAGTTCGAATAACAAAAAACTGGGCCAATTTTTATTTCGGGTCAGTGTATAACAAAAGGAATCATAACAAGCTTCCTTTCTTTTCTTTTCTTTCTCTCTTCTTATACTCTAATAACCACCAATTTGTTCAACCATCACATCAATACTATCACCATCTTCCATATCCAACTTAAAAGATATGAGTACATTACATATAGACAATGTAACTTACATCATTGGGTGTATCTTGAGGCAAGACACGAGTACCGTCATACAAGAAACGAACTGAGCCAGGTTGTTTACCTTGTCTTTCACAGTATGCATCCATCAACTTTCTTAATTGAGTAGTACGTTTGATTTTGAAAAAAACTTCATTGGAGTCCTAACAAAAAAAGTAAGCAACGAAATAATTAAAGATGCTTATACTTACACTACCAACAACTTTAAGATTGATATGTTCAACAGCAGCAGGTGCTTCCTTCTTTTCGGTTTTATCGACAGTATCGGACATAATGTTGCGCGTGAAAGAAAGAGAGAGAAAGAGAAAAAAAAAAGATGAACAGCCTTGTTTGTGATTTCATTATCCGCGTCTAAGTCACGTGATAAAATGGTAGGTGCTGAAAAACAAAATTTATCTTAAGAATCAAGTACCATAGTTATTGCCAGATACTGAGGTTAAAAGAGCATGTTTCTGGTAGACAACAATATTCTTTTTCTAACATGTTGCCTTCTGCTCGTAAGTCACGTGATATAATACTTATCACGTGACTATCATTATTAACCGAACTTTGTTCCAATTTTTATGTTCGATTTTTATTGAATAAGACAACCGGGGGAGCAGCATAAAAAGAGACATTTCTTTTTCTTTTTGTCAACCATGTCGTTTATCTGTCGCCGATCGCTTCGATCACATACCAACGTAACTATATGCTTTGAATCCAAATATGATACTGACATGAACATAGTTTGTTTGTTTGGAAACAAAGCGTCAATGTATGAAACCTCGTATTTTGGCAGCTCCTACTCGAAACAATGTTAGTCAATTCTATAGTACTGCTTCAGAAGCACGCGCAAAGGCTGCTGTTGGTGTAAGTAAATAAATAGATTGAATTAAAAAACTTATAGCAGTTTGCATAGCCTTTTACCTATAAAGCAGCTGCTGTCTTTTTAGGTGTAGGTTCAGGTTTATTGTTGTATTTCAAGAGCGAAAAACAAAAAGTCGAAAAGATGCGTAAGTAAGCCTGTATATAACCATGTATACTGATAATCGTTAGTCAAGGAAAAAGAAGCTGAAAAGCAAAAGACACAGGCCTTTGGTAAACCCAAGTTGGGCGGTGAATACACACTTACAGATGCATCTAATGGCAAGCCATTTGGTTCTGGGGACTTGAAAGGAAAGTTCTCTTTGATCTACTTTGGCTTTACTCATTGTCCTGATATTTGCCCTGACGAATTAGATAAGATGTCTGAAGTTGTAGACGCAGTCAGTAAGTAAGCATGTACGCATCTGCAAGCCTCTGACATGATATAGAAAAAGATATTGGGGATAATGTCTTAGTACCTGTCTTTATTACCTGTGATCCTCGACGTGATACAATGCCAGTTGTCAAGGAATATGTGAAGGATTTCCATAAGGATTTAGTTGGCTTGACTGGCACTGAAGAAGAAATCAGAAGAGTTGCAAAACTGTTTCGTGTGTATGTCTCTTCACCTCCTGACATTAGTGAAGGAGATGATTATTTAGTTGATCATTCCATCTTTTTCTATTTGATGGATCCTGAAGGCAATTTCTTGGATTGTTATGGTCAAAACTCAGAAGCAAGTGCTGTCACTCAAAGCTTCAAAAACTATTACAATTCCTTTATTCAAAATGGTGGCAAGATTCAAGACAGATATCTCACTATTGAAAATGCTGTACCTGAAAAGCAACAATAAAGAAACAAAAACAGATTATTTTATTGTAAAAAAAAGAGAGAGACATTTCGAGCCAGTCGAAATAAGCTAAAGGGTCATTCAGAAGAAGAGACAAGGGAGACATGTTTTTTATGGCTAAGATAATCATCTTGTTCCATGACACAAGAGTCAATGGAATTAGGTGTAGAAGGAGCAGAGATCAAAGAAGGGGCTGTTTGTTTATGATAAGGTGGAGTCTCGGGCGTAACCGTCAGATGATGGCTTGGAAAGAGTAATGTCTTGGTAGGCATAACTTTGTCCTCACAGATGATACCCAGTTCATTGGCTGACTCTAAGTAAGAAGACGACCGTGCACGTAGAGATGTACGATGATTATTTATTTGGGACCGCTTATTTTCCTCGTGTGACAATTGGCGACGATGCAACGAAGTTGCACGAGAAACGATAGCGTCATATTGAGCCTTTTCCCGACCAACATCGGCAGATTTAGTCTTGTCAAAATGGCTATCGAGATCATGGACTTGAGCAATGGGCCGAAGTGAAATTGTCTTGGGCTTTTTGCCTTCAAGAGACAACATGGCTTCTTGTCGGGACTTATCTTGGAAAGAGAAGGCGATGCTTTGTTCTAGCAAATGTTGGCGCCATCCATGTGTACTGTCAGCATTGTAGGTCTGTCTTTTGTTTTTCATTTGAGGCAACGATTGAAGCATAGGCTCTTTTTCTTGCTCTTCATCAATGAGCATGCCTTTGAGGGCTAAGGTGAGCTGGTCCGTATTAGGAGTAGAGAGAGGACTACGACGATGTCTTCGTTCTTTCAGGGTTAGTTTTTCAACTTCTTCGTCACTTTGGTCGATGGCACTAGTGATAGGGGAATCGTGCTGAGATATAAAAGTAGTGGGTGATTGCTGAGATTGAGGTCGGCTATGATCAAAGGGTATACAAAACTGGGGAAGCGGTGGTGGTGGCGGCACCTGAACCGAAACACTACTGCTCATTCTAGAATTGCCTAATGTACCACTGCGAAAAGGAACTGGGTTTGTTCCTGTAGGCGTCAATGAAGCACTTGAGCGATTGGTCTTAGAGGTGGTGATGCTATCACTATCTTCTTTCAGACTTTCAGGAGAATGAAGTACCTCGGCGTCAAGAGACAAGCGTAGAAAAGAAGGTTGCCTTTTGGTCTTGATAGACCGAGGTTTGACTCGAGGCGTAAGAGAAGGGTCGACAAGAGGGCGTCGGCTATTACTACCAGTAGTAATGCTTGAGCTATACTGGACACTTTCTTTGGGGGGACAGTAACTTTCTCTTTTAGATTTAACTTGTCTGGGTGGCGGAGAAAGTGAAGAAAGTGGCTGTAACTGAGGTTGTGGCAATGGTAGAGGCTGTGTTGGCCAAAAAGACGAATTGAATTCTTCTGATTTGGCTAAACATAACAATGAATATCACAACCAACATGTATATGAAATTACCTTTCACAATGATTTCTGAGGATTGGTGAATAACAGGACGTTCTGTCTGCTCAAAATCTTCATACGACTGTGATAATCGAATCTGTTGTGTATGGCTTGTTTTGGGCTTCTTGAATTTAGAAACAAATGAAAAGCAAGACGACCAGCGGAACTTGCGCGATTTGGAATCTGAGAAATTGGATAGATTTTCGCTGTATCTAGAACGGTCTATGCTCTTCTTTTTATACGGTTGGTGAGTGTGTGCAGTAGCATCATCTGGCATGGATCGAATTAGAGGTATCTGATGATTAGCAACAAGGCAAAAAAAAGGGGGTATATTGCCTTTTTTTCTTTAAAAAAAAAGAAGAGAAAAAGAAGAGAAAAAGAAGAAAAAAAAGGAGGAAAAAAATGAAATAGTAGTTTAAATCTCTTTATCTTGACTTTTTGTTATAAGCTACACTAGTAACCTAAAGTAGTAAGAAGCATACTTTAATACTCGTAGTCCCGATACCTCCGCCTCAAATAAAACAATTCGTTTCCATTAGGTAGTACATGTTGACTTGTTGCAGCATTTACTGTATACCGTTCCTTTTGTTTTCTTTATTTTTGGCTTGTTTTTACAAGATAAGACACTGAGCAAAAAAAAAAAAAAAAAAAAAGGAAGAAAGCCAAGACTATGTGTCATATGCTTAGATTCTCGGGGCGGATTGAGTTATGCTTCGTACTATTTACTCTTTTATCAGATACTACATTGCACAGTGCAAAGTAGCTTATTCTTCATCATGTAACATAATCCTTTTGAAAAGGAAATAAAAACATTCTTCTTTCTCATCGGTACAGACGGCAAGTGTTAAATAAAGAAATTCAAGGAGAAATAAAAGTAATACTTGTTCGTTAAGCCAAGAGAAACATCTGATTATTTCATTTCGTCTTTTGTTTCTCTTTGTCTGTTTGTCTGCAGTGTGCACGAGTTTCTAGCATTCTCTTTTAAAAATAAACATACAAAAAAAAAGAGAGAGAAGAATATATCATTGGTTCTTGTGTCTATCTAGGCAATTCCCTTACATACCTTTCCCTCTTTCTCGCTTTACATGGGTAGGCAGTTTAAACTTCTGTCTTCTTTTTTTCTCTTTTCTCTAATAAATTCTGGTGCTACCAAAAAGTAAATGTGCATCACTGTGTAATGTTTCCTCGTGGCAAAAGATAGAGAAAGAAAGAACAAGTATTTGGTCTTTCGCAGTAAATGATTTTCCACGTTTTGGCTTAGAAAGAAAACGTTTCTCTTTGTGTTGTTTTCAATTCTGTTTACAAGCCAACATTGATAAGATAAAGTCAAAGGATCTATATTTTTTTTTATAGATTATAGTTTAGACAAACAAAAATTAATTTTTCAAAAGTAACTCGAAGCTAACTTATTTTTGTTGAATTCAATATCCTAACTAGACAGTTATGAACGAATTCAATGTGCATAGTAAAGAACGAAATGATGTTATCTGAATTCAGGCACCAATTCAAACTCGTACAAGATTTTATTTGTTGGGTAAACTTGTTTTCCCTCATCTCTCTCTCTCTCTCTCTCTCTCTCTCTCTCTCTCTCTCTCTCTCTCTGTTAATAATATTTGTTAATGTCTATCTCTCTCTTTAGATCAAGGAGTTACACATAATCCTTTGTTACAAAGAATACGAGTCATGATTGCGTAGAGAGATAATAGCTTAATATTATGTCTTTACTTTTGAAACAACAAATGCTCCTCAATTAAATGTAAATATAGATAGTCTACTTATTTATGTTGTTGAAAACACGACTGCATGAATCAAATCCTTGGTTCAAGGGTGTCCACTCCATTATGTCTGGGCTTGTCGAATACACTTTTATTTTTTCTAGAGATTGTGTGCACTACAGTAAATGCGTGTGAATATTTGCTAGTTTAGGGACGCCTGCTTCATACTTAAGACAATGGAATTCCCGTTTACAATGTACTGGTCGTTTTATCCTTCCTTTTTTAGTATGCAGTAGTATTTAAAGCTTTTCTTAAAGGAAAGAAGAGAATTATACCAAGGATCAATGGTTTTTCATTCAAGTACAGGTACGACAGCTTCTGATTTCTATAGGACATGATGTAATCGAAATTATCCATGTGTTCAGGGGCTATTCTTTTTGAAAAGCGATACTTGTTCTACACAATAGAGATGGGTTACTTAGTGTTTTCTTTGTTTTCATTTTATTAATAAAAATACTAACATCAGTAAATTTATTTTGCCGCTTGTTTGGTTGTTCAAAAGACACTCCTTATCTTGAAGTCAGCGTGTCTAAGAAATAAGACTCTCGCTTTCTCTTCCCTTCTCCCTCTCTTCTGATAAGACATCCTTGTTGCTTAGCTTTATACACATACATAAAAAGAAAACGAAATTAGTCATGACTATAGTAGATTGTAATTACGCGAGTTACAAGAATGAAATCAAGCCGTTATTTTAGCTCAATCAAAAGAAAGTGGCTAGACTGTAAAGTACAATTTGCCGATCATCATGAAACCTGTCTTTGAAGATGACGATACAGTGTAAAAATGTAAACAAATACCAAACATTAACTACTCCTAGAATAGTATTAAGATGCCCTTTTCGGTGCTATAATACTTATAAGAGATAGCTGAGTAGCTTTTACTAAAGTACATGGAACTTTTTAATTTTTTTTTTTTTTTGGACACGCATCATCAGGTATTCAAAATGGCCAAATTCTGATTTTTTCCAAAAGGGTTCATTCAGGGTCGGTATTTAGTACTCCGACAAAGCTCGCTTCTTTTCTGTTTTGCGAGCCAAGAAATGAAGCTATCAGCATGCCCAAGTACTCAAAACAAGCGCCAAAGACTGATAAATATGAATATTTGTTTTAAATTAGAGAATACTCATGAGAGTGGTATTTTATGGCCAAAAAAGCGTTGAAAATGATAGCCTAATTTTCGGCATTTATTTGAGAGTTTTATTGTAATAAAGCTACATATACATTATTTTCTTGACGAGAAGCTATTTGTAAGAGACTTTTACTAAGACATTATGGGTCTAAAAGCTCGTTTTTGAACCTTTTTAGAAAATGGATCCATCTGAAGAACTTTTGGAAGACTGTTTTTAGACCTCCGCAGCTAGCCATTCATTTATTCTCGACTGTCTACTTGACTGCGACTTACTTTTTAAACAAAAAGCTACCATGAGTGCGTACGGTTCAGACAAAGCAGTATGTAGATACACGACCAGTAACCGTCTTTTTATTTACTTTTAAAACTTGTGTCTAGGCAGATACAGATTTTAGACGCAAGTGGGATAAAGCTGAATATGCGGCCAAAGCAAGAGCCCGTGAAGAACAGTATCGTATGTCTGATCAAAACGATGAGAGACGAAAAAGAGGTTTGCCCCCTTTGAATTTGAATAAACCGCACGACAAAGAAGATACAAACAAGGATCTCATGAAGCATCGTGAAGAAAATATCGATTTAGAAAAGAATGTTGGCAAGATTCAAGTGGTTCAATCCCTTGAATCAAGGAAACAACCAGGTTTTTATTGTAAAGCATGTGATGTTACCATCAAAGACAGTGTTACTTATATTGATCACTTGAATGGAAGAAAGCGTAAGTTGTCAACTATGCTTATTACAAGAAACACTCATTCAATGCATTAGACTTGGATAACGTTGGTATCTCTGCCAAGATTGAAAAAGCAGACGCCAATTCAGTTAAAGAGCGATTGGCCATGTTAAAGAGAAAGAAGGAGAATCCCGAAAAAGAAGAATACAGTAAGTTGGTAATTTATCCTCTCATAGTATCTTACTATAAAAATAGACCTTGATGAAAGATTAGCAGCATTAAAGCAACAAGAAGAAGAAGAAAAGAAAAAGAGACGAGAGAAAAAGAAGCAAAAGAAAGAGCATAAAAAGAAAGATCAAGTTGAAGAACAACTTGATGATGAAATGGCCAAAATGATGGGATTCTCGGGCTTTGGTTCATCAAAAGCATAAGTTTATTTCTTTTTTTCTGGAGAATTAAGCTAATGCACTTTCTCTTCCAAGCGTAGCCAATTGATCCAAGAATTCTTGAGGAGATAAAATGTCTGTAGATCCATAAACAATCTTTTTCTTGCTATTGTTTTGCTATTGAAATAAAATATATAAGAATATATATATATATATAGGTGTCCATTGACTTACTGAAGCTAATTCTTGCAAGTTTTGGTATTCAAGATAATTACCACCACCTACAACAAACACAATAGCTTCTTGGAATGCTACTTTATGTTGGCGTTGAGATTTTGAATTCTTGCTAGCCTTAGGATCAAAGTAAAGATAGTCATTGGCTTTTGATGTCTCACTCTGTGGTGGTGTCATGATGTCAGAAACTATCCTACTCACGACCAATTCTTTGCGAGTAGGCAGTAGATTTTTGACACCTGAAAGTAGATTCTCAAATCCTCCGCCAAGAGCTCCTTCTTTTAATCTATCAGACAACTATGTGCATGTATTTAACCATCTAGAAACACTCGTTAAATACCCTTACTTTGTTACCAATGCTACTGAATCCACGGAATAAATCATTTTGTGAGAATCCAGTTTGTGGTTGTGGTGCAGAAGAGATCATTGAAGTCATACGCATTAATGCACGTACTCTACAAAACAAGGTTAGAAATATCTCTCTAATAGACTGTTTTGTCTTACTTTTTAATATAGTTCAAAGGTTCCATGTCACAATTGGCTTCAGAAAGGGCTTTTTCATATGCTTCCATATCGTCCTTGGGGATTTCTTCTACTGTTGATAGATAATAGATCAAGAACAATCTCATTTTGTCTTCAGGGTTCTTTTTTTCTGCGTCTCGAATAGTCTCAAGTAACGCGTTCTTGTTAAGTCTGGTAATGCCTTCCTCAAGTTGGAAGAAACTGTCCAATTGTCTATCCTTGATGGAGTTTAACAAGGCTGTAGCTACATTCATATGCATATCTAAAGTAGCCTTTCTTGCTGTTAATTCAGGTAAAGCAGTAATGGCTGATTTTAATAATTTAGTGTTGGAGGACATATCGGCCTGGCTCACGTCTTCTAAAGATGAGACGCCACTCATGCCTGTAATTTCAGCAGCATCTTTTTTGTACTTGTTTAATTCAAAATCAATGTCTTCAGCTACCTGTGGAAATGGGCTGGAGGCGTTTTTTGTCCAAAAGAAATCTTTACTGTCGAGATCATAACTGCGTTTCTTTCCAGTTTCACCTTCTTCGATAGTAACACGATTCAATTTCATGGAAAGAACATCATGAACCAATGCTTCGTATGTCCATGAGTGAGCCAACATGGGTGTTAGATCCATACTTCTATCCAACAAAATAAGAACAGGTCGTTGTAAATTACTGTTGGCATCTGAAGAAAACAAATTGGTTCTGCTGTTCATGACATGGTCGCGTAATTTGCTATCCAGTTTGATGGCAATACTTTCAGCAGCATTTCCTCGGGGCATCGAATAATAGGGACAACACCCATAGTCACAATGACAGAAAATAGGGCATTGACTGCCTTGTCAAGAGTTTCTTCGATCAACGCTTCTGTGGCAGTAGGGTTGTTTAAGCTGATGAATGCATGTGGTTGATAAAGTGAGAATACATTAGGATTTGTACAAATGAAATTGAGATATTGATCATAGACCTATGATATTAGGATTCAATGCCACGCACTTGTTTGCTTGGCTTACTTGATTGACCATATCTGAGGTATTATCAGTAATAGTTTTAGTGGCAAATTCTTCTAGAACATGTCGAGGAACAGTTGAACAAAAGTTGATATAGTATGAATCATACAAATTGCGGTTTAGATCCTGTTTATCACAGTTAATAATACTATTGTTTTCTGTATGCTTGTTACCTCGCATATCCTTTTGATGTTTTCCAAAGTGGGTTCTACAAAATAGACAGCAGGAACATCGGGCAAAGGTGATCTTTCTTGCGATAAAAGCCTATGGATATGTACTATGAGCCACGCGTGTCTATTCTTGACTCGACTTACATATGAACTGTAACACCATTCTCGCGAAGATCATTGACACGCATGATAGAGGAAATAATATCTTGACCAAACTTATCAAAGACAAGTACTTTCCATACGATATTCTCGCTTTCGTTTCCGGAGGAAGGGCCCTCTGGTGAATTTAGATGAAGCATGTTCACAATAGCATCTATGGGTAGATGAGTACAACTCTTATAAAGTCTTTATCTTTAGCTACCATATTGTGCAGAACGTAATGAGTTGGTCTCTACTAATGGCAGTGTGTTTATCTGATTCTGCATCTTTAAAGCAAGAAAAAGAAATTATAATTGGAGGAGGGACCAATGATGTCCTTTTTCGTGCCAGAATGCAATTGCCGATCCTCATATTCAAGCGAAGAATAAGACTCAACTAGTCGTGCCGGCCCACCCCGAGTGTGTTTATGCACCGGAATAGCTACACATGATTATGCATATGCTCAAGACGCATATTTAGCTATAACCATCAAAAACGACTCTTTTGCTTTCTCTTTTTCTCTTCACTCGCTCTTCAAATTATCTTTTCGCACTGAGTAGTTTCTCACCCTTTTGCCTTTATGTTTGCAATCATTCCAATTTTTTTTAAAGCACCTCGCCATAAGTTTATTTCTAATCTGCCTTACTTACTATCTCTATTTAAAAGCAGTTATTCCCTAGACTTAGTTATGTTTCTTTTGATATTAAAAGGCTCATGCTGTTTAATTTGATAGCAAACATGCGACAAGACTCTACTGTACAATCATGCTGATTTGGAACCAATGAACTATGTTTAAGTTTTTTTCTATCACATTTTGACTTCTTATTGTTCTTAGATTTTTTACTTAGTTCAAGTATGCTAAAGTACTATCTAGTACTCCTTTGCCTCTTTTGTAGTCATTTCATTTTTTAAAATCGGTTAAAAACATATGTTCTACATTATTGCTTCTAAAAAGCACTTTAAACATAAAAGACCTTGTCTCATTATCTGCTTGGATTTGTTTACATAGTCTACAAATGTCGTGGTTTTTCCAAGATATGAAATGAATTTTAACCATTCAGTAAAAAAAGCTAAAAAAACAAGTCGCTCCTAGGTGGGCTCGAACCACCAACCTCCTGATTAACAGTCAGACGCGCTAGCCAATTGCGCCATAGAAGCTGTTTTTTAGTTGTCGATTTGATATTTTACTTAGGTTTGTATTCTTATAGTCAAGTCACGAGACAATAGAACGTTTCTTAGCCAATAGATTCACTGGGAAATATTCTGGAAATAACGTGACGTCACAGAAAGGAACTGTGTATTGATACAGTAAGTATAAGATCTTTATTTATAATAAATGTAATGTTACCTGTGTATTGATACAGTAAGTATAAGATGAAGAACTTACAAGTATCAATAACACAGTATTTATATGTTTTCTAATTGTACTAAAATATATAAACTATAACATATGGAGAAGGAAGTAATTAAATACTTAAAGCTGATTGATGTTTCTGTCTTGACGAATCTAAAGTGTGCTTGGCTTTACTAATGCGAATCAAGTTGAGGCGGACTTTCTTTCTTCTTTTGTTCAGTACTTGTGGTTTAAACCTTCGTTTGTTCGGATTATAGTTTGTTGGAAGGTTATATTCAACTTCAATTGGCTGTTTCTTACTGGAATCGCTATTTTCTGTGACATTACCCCCCTCCTGGCTTGATGTTCGTCTCTGAACATTAGAAGCTTGGTTAGAAGGAGGTACTGTAAATGAGGAGCAAGGAGCAGACGCGTCTTGAATACCAGACAAAACCGACATCGGATTGGTAGTAGAATTTGTAAAAGAGTCATCCACGTCCTCAGCATCGTCAACATCAATGTCAATGTTAAACTCGGAATCAGGTAGATCTAACGAATTAGGTGCAGAGTCTGTGAGGATTTCCTGAGCGTCGACAAATTCGTCATTGGCAATAGATATTGGTTCAGTAGTATCTATGGCGAAATCGCAAGGAGGTGCAGAGACAGAAAGCATCTGTGAATTGTTTGTAGTAGGTAGGACATTGTCGTGTTTAATGTCCAAAGGGGACTCATCACTTGTTATAACAGGTTCAGCTGCCAGTTTCGAGACAGGAGAAGATACCTTTAACGAAGAATGGCTTTGATTGTATATGGTAGGAGACATAGCTTGGTCAGGTAAATCCAAGGTCGGCAAGAATGGTGAGTTTGAGTCGTATACCTGTGTACCAGTTGCATTTTCTATGCGTGGTGTCGAACTAATAGGAGTGATTATTGTGCTAGTTGAGTCAATGATAGGTATGGAGTCATTTGTATCAACAGGATCAACATGGTCAATACTGGGATCAACTTCATCAGCCGTAGGTTCAGGAATGGTAGCAGTTGCATCGATAGGTGTCTCTTCAATTATGTCATTTGTGGCCAATTGAGGGGGAATAGATGGTACCACCGCTGAACGTCCAATGTTTGTCATGACAGAACGCCATTCTTGTCGAGCAGTTGTAGGGTCATACCAGGGTTCAGAAGATGAATGTCCATTAGCTAAGCGCAATCGATCTATGTGGACCAATGATTTTAACGGCTCACCCGCTAAAGTTTGTAGCTTGTATGTACCGAAATCAGGGAAAGATTGAACAATAATGTAGGGTCCTTTGTAATGTGGTTCTAGTCCATAACGGCCTTCATGCGTGAGAACCACTTTATCGCCAACTTCGAACGCAACCTTCTTGATCTGAGCGTCCCATCTCTCCTTGTCTTTGTCAGCCATAGCTTTCATTCGGAATTCTGCGGCTGCACGGTGTTGACCCAAATCTGCTAATTCCCTTGAAGTCAAATCAGCGATTGTTCGTTCATCAGCAAATGTCTTTTTATCAAGATAAGGCACTAATGGGTCGCCGGGTAGTCTTGGTTCTCGGCCATAAGTTAAGAAGAAAGGACTGTAACCGGTAGTCGAGTGTACTCGTATTCTTGAAGCCCAAAGAGCCGCGTTAACAAAATCATCCCAACGATGCAGTGCGCCGTTCACATATTTTCTAAGCATGCCCTTTATCACAGCATTGAAGCGTTCCACCTTAGAATTAGTACGAGGATGGTAGGCAGAGGTTAGTTTATGATGGGCACCTACTCTTTTCAGGTAAGCGTTGACCAATTCGCTGTTAAAGTTGGAACCTCGATCCGTCAATACCTCAGAGGGGCAACCAAAACGCATCATGATTTCTTCGTAGATGAAATCGGCAACAGCTTCCTTAGTGGCGGCAGGTACGGCACGGGCAATTGGCCAGTTAGTTGCATAGTCAACAGCGACTAATAACCAACGGTTTCCTTTTACGGTCAAAGGTAGTTCGCCAATGAAGTCTAGGTGCCATCGGTCAAAGGCAGTAGGTATCTTTAAGGGGTGCATAACGTCATGGTGGGTATGGCTAGGTCGGCTGTTGACTTGACATGCAGGACATGTTTTCAACCAATCTTTCAAATCACGTTTCATACTTGGCCACCAAAAACGAGGTGTAAAAAGCTTAACCATGGTTTCGAAACCAGCATGACCATTCGCCTCATGATAGCGAGCAACCAGATCAGCCCTTGAAGCAAAAGGTACGAAAGGAACCGCCTTTGTTGTTTGTTTGTCATCTACTTGAACCAAACGATAGACACGACGATCTTTAACCACAAATTTCTCATGCTTTTTTTCTAGATAGTGTCTTAATTCGGCAGACTTAACTCTATTCAGATCAAGATAGAGCATAGGCCAATCCAGCTGGATAGATTCTGGTGCATTCTTCATTGTCCAAGTAGCATATAAGAATTCTGGTTCTAAGGACGACTCAGCACTAGTAGATTCAGGGCCACCGATTCTAGACAATACATCAGCTGCATTGTTTTCTTTACCAGGCTTGTACTCAATAGTAGGTGAGTAAAGCTCCAACTCGTTCATCCAACGCACCAATCTTGGGCTCATTTTATCTTGCGACCTCAAGTAACAGTTGGGAAGGTGGTCAGTCAAGATCTTGTAGCCTCCGCGACAACCATCAAGAAAACATCGCCAAGTACGAAGTGCATGTAAGATCCCCATCAATTCACGCTCTTGAGCAGGGTAGTTACGTTCTGCAGAGGAGAATTTTTTCGATTCGTATGCTACCGGATGCCACGCAGGAGGGTCCTTATCATCGGGTTGCAAAAGCACAGCACCACAACCAAAATCAGATGCATCTGTTTCCACTCTAAAAGGCTTATTCATATCAGGAGCTTGTAGCACAGGGCAGAGACCATCATTGTCTTGATTTTATCAAAGCTTTCTTGACACTCCTTAGTCCAGACAATAGGACGTCGTTTAGGACCAGTGCCTTTAGTGAGATCAGTCAAAGGAGAAGCGATTGATGCAAATCCCGGAATGAAACGTCGGTAATGTTGAGCTAGGCCAATAAAAGATCTGACTTCTTGGACATTGGTCAAGGCAGGCCATGAATTTAATACCTTGATTTTGGCACGACTAGGTAAGATACCATTGGAGGTGATATCGAATCCAACAAATGTCAATTCTCGTTTACCAAACTCACATTTTTTTAGATTTGCGATTAGGTTGGCATTTTTGAGTTTGTTCAATACCATGCGTACATGTTGCTTATGCTCTTCTAGTGATTTACTGTAAATCAAAATGTCATCCAAATAAACCAAAGCAAATTTGTCTAAGTAGTCACCCAAGATTTTGTTCATTAAGCTTTGGAACGTTGGAGGAGCATTGGTAAGTCCGAATGGTAAAACCAAGAATTCAAACTGTCCGTATCTGGTGTTAAACGCCGTCTTTGGCACATCTTCTGGATTGATGCGCACTTGGTGATAGCCCGACTTCAAATCAAGACTTGTAAAATAAGTGGCACCTTGCAGGCGATCTAAACATTCATCGATCCTTGGTAACGGGTGGTTGTTCCGAGTGGTTACACTATTCAAAGCACGATAATCAATGCACATTCGCATTTCTCCAGTTTTCTTTTTCACAAATAGAACAGGTGCTCCCCAAGGCGAAGCGCTTGGACGAATCAGGCCTAATTGTAGCAGTTCTTTGATCTGCTTTTGCAGTTCATCTAGTTCGGCAGGACTCATTTTGAATGGAGGGCGACTGATAGGCTTGGCTTCTCCCGTGTTGATGACATGAGTTACGTCACGCTCCGGAGGTAG